TTTAATATGTAATAATATTCTAAAAGATTAAATTATTATTGATAATATTAATCTTTAATTTCTTTATAACAAACAATTAAATACTCAATTCGGCGCGCTTGCGCGCGTTTAATTTTGCTAATTTAATAATAAAATACTGCATTTGTTTGCTCATAAGTTTTATATAATTTTTATGTCTGATATATAGACTAGAAAAAGTTTTGATAAAAAATTGTTTTTTAATTATTCTATATTTCTTTTTCTAAATATAATTTTAGAATATTAATATTTATTATAAGTTTGCTTCTATAATTAAATTAAACGATTTTATGATAAAAATTGTTCTTGAAAAGTAAGAGGGTCACCCGAGTCGAAATTTTAATATTCTATTAGGCCTCTAAAAAACCTCGCAATTGAGATCTAGTAGAAAATAAATAGAGGACAATGCTACAATGTGATAAAATGTAATTCAAATCAGATTTGAGATTAAAATTAATCCTCTTTCACTACTCTTTTCTCCTCCATGAATAAAATTTTCTCCTTTATATATATGTAGTAATGCGCATGTGCCACAATTTGTGCGCATTTGATCACTTGCAAGAGGTGAGTTTATGATAATTCAAGTTATCGCTCAATGCATAAAAACTTGAAAATCAAAGTCAAACTGTTTCAGCATTTTGTCTCGCATTTCAAAGAAAATAGACTTAAAAATCATATCAAATTTTTTTCTTATTCTTTATGACTCCTGTAACAGAAATTTACTTGAATTTTTGATTTTTGTTAATTTAGTTAATAATGACAAGCTGTCCCCATTTGCCCCGAGTTTTCAAATTTTTGGGGTAAATGGGGACAGCTTGTCATTATTAACTAAATTAACAAAAATCGAAAATTCAAGTAAATTTCTGTTACAGGAGTCATAAGGAATAAGAAAAAAATTTGGAATGATTTTTAAGTCTGGTTTTTTTTCCAAATGCGAGACAAAATACTGAAATAAACAAAAAAAAAAATTTCAATTGGTTCAACTATTATATATCTACTACAAGTTTTTTTCAAGTTTTTTATTCCTTAATACAGTAATATGCTTAAGAAAACTTTTTTCTTAAAGCTTTCTTAGAAACTATGCTGTCCCCATTTACCCCAAATTTTAGGAAATTTTCTAAATCTTGGGGTAAATAGGGATAGTCAGTTTCATGTTTTTAAAACTTATTTAAATTTTTTTCTGCTGCATAAAATTAATCCTAGGAATGTAAATAACAACTTAAAAAACATAACCCCGTAAATATTACCTTTTAATGGAAGAAACTTACGTAATTTGTGAAAAATAGGGATTTTTTTCCATTTACCCTAACTGACCCTAATTGGTTTCTTTGCAATCGGATTAATACTCTCTAAATCTGAATAAGTGAAATTTCACTTAAAATGTATCAAAAGTCTTCCACGTAGAAAAATAAGTGTATATATACACTTATTATAAGAAATATTATTATATATATATATTAATATAAATATTAAGAAATATTTAAAAATGTTATAAATAATTTTCATGGAGAAAGCAGTTCATAGTGGAAGTACAAGCGTTGCAGTTTTGTATAAATGTTTCATTTTTCTTGTAGAAAGAGCAAAAATATTTTCTGCTCCTCAAACCACTGAGGAAAGAAAGGTGAAGATGCAACCTTTACTTGCGAAGTTTGCAAGCAATAATAGGTTGATCTTTTCGTAAACTTGCTTCTTAGGGTAAAAAAATATTTTTCTCAAAAATAGTCCTTTATTAAAAAAAGTGTGAAATGTTTTTAATTTTTAAATAGGGTAAATTTTAATATTTTTGAAAAATTTTTTGCACCATTCAAACGAGCAGAAAAAACTTTCGAAAACATATAGGTCAAAATTTTTTTTATCCTTTTATACAAATAGTTATGATTTTTCAAAAAATCCAATGTTCACAGTTTGGCTATTGGTACACTTCAGAAATTGCGCCCTATATACATATGTATACACTGAGAAAAATAATAATGTAATGTTAACAAAATAATTTGGTGGAGCACTTTTAGTTAAGATTACAAAAATTTAGTTGACATAACAGTAACGAAAGAAGCAATCAATCGAGAAATTTAGTTGGCTGTACCAAAAATTTCGTTCAAGCTTTTGCGTCTGTTAACTGAATAATTTGGTTCTCCAAACCAAACCGTCTGAATGCTCAATTGCGCATGCGCTGTTCTCGTAAATATGGCTTATTTCTCTGTTTACGGATGTCACACGTTAACCATGCTTCGCTCTTCGTGTCGTCCAGTTTTATTCAAGTGTTTTCGGGATTTTTATGTGTTTCAGAAATTCGGTAAAAAAGTGTGTGTAGTGATGCATATCGAACAGAGAGAATAAAGCTTGTTAAAAGAACGGAAGTTTTTCTCCAGCCTGTATACTTTATGAAAATAATTTACACTCACATTGTCACTAGGATTCTTAGTGTAGTGGTCAGCGTTCTTGATTTCCGTTGCGTAGTCTGAAGGTTCGATCCCCAGCAGTGTTAGGTTTTTCCGCAATAGAAATTATTTTAAGTAGACATAGGGTGGTAGGTAATATAAAGCGAAAAGATTAAAAGAGGATAACAAAAGTGATAAAATTAAGTGAAAAATAAAAAATATAAGTGTGAGCCAAAAAATAATTTGGTTGAGAAAAGAAAAAAATTTTTTTCATTTAACTAAATTTTTTGTTTGCTTAAAAACAATAAGTTAGTTGTGCAAAACAAAAAAATTGGTAGACCGAACAAAATGATTCAACGAAAAAATTTAGTAGCCCGAACCAAACGGATTAGTTGCACATATATCAAATAAAAAATTTGGTTTGGAGAACCGAACTTCAGTAGATGATACCAAACAGTTTTCTCAGTGTAGGTATATAATATTTGACTCAATGACAAAAAGTCAAATCTACATAGCTTTTTTTTAAAAAATCATAAAACACATTAAAATATTTTGTAAAATATATTTTATTGACTTTTATTATTATTGTGAAAAAATATTATTTTTTCATGCAGTGAGATAAATATTATTAAATACATTCAGTTTTCTTCAGAACTTTTTCAGATGTTTAAACGCGCACATTCAGATTCCTTACTATTTTTTTTAGAAATAATCTTTTCAAAAAAAAACTTTTTCTACAACTTCTTAAGATTAAAAAAAACTCAAGATCTTCAAAACTGTATATAATTTTTTTTTAGAAATTAAGTACACTTCCTTAAAATAAACCGAATCGCCTAAAAACGGTTGTAAACTTTTTATTATTTTTCAAAGATAATTGAATTTTATCCAGAAAAACTTTAAATTTCTTTAAAACCAATTAATCATTTTTTAAATAATTAATACATAATTAATTATGTATTACTGTCATTTTTAAAAATGATTTAATTTTTTAAATAATAAAAAATTTCGCAAACTTTTTTGAGCTTATAAAGTGAAATTTACCTCGAAATTTACGTCCTATATTAAGAATTATTCTCCATATACATCAAATTAGAGTAATGTTGCCAATATTATTCCCACCATAATTTCCGAAATATTACTGAAATACAATATTGTCAATATTTCAGGAACTTTGAGATAAGTGTGAGATTTAATATATATGAAACAACCGGAAATAACATTTTTTATTTTGAAATAATAAACAATTTATATCTTTTAGACTGTTGTTTAATTCATTTGTAATTAAGTAACTTTAAGTTTTATAAAACTGTATTCTTTTTATTCTTCAAGGGGATATACGATCTTGAATGGCTCAAAAACAAGGTCATTTTTAAAATTTTTTCTATTCTGTCCACCAGTTTAAAAAATGTGAGTAAAATTATATAAAATTAATTAAAATTTTAATTGCTGTTTATGCATAAATAAAAAATTATTAATTATTAATTTAAAAGCACATGCTATAGAATCTATAAAATATTTTACAAATTTTATAGCATATATGCTTTTGAATCAAGAGGTAAGTTTTATACCTTTGGGAGAAATGCTGTTGATTCAATAGCATATTTTTCTCAGTTCATACAGAACTGTTATCTCATAATATTATAATTAATAAACTAATGTAATATATGTATAACATATAAAATATTAAAATCTCGCACCTGCTTTTTAGAAAAATTTATGTACATAGTATAAATAAAAATTAACTTCAATTTTAAATAAAATTAAATTTCTTAAGAATGTAACAAAAACAATACATTATAACCACATTACAAAATAACATGTAAGAAATTATCAAAACCTATAAAAAATAGTATAAGTAAATACGACAAACTGCATATGTGGAAGGATAAAATAAATGCGTGGACAGACGAAATAAATAAATACAAAGATTATTTTATGTGATTTTAATTATATTTAAAATTCACAGATAAAGTTTAATTAATAATATCAATAATTATTAAAATAAAATAAATAGAATAGTCATTAAAACCCCTAAACATTCAAAATTTATATCATGTAGGGTTTTTTTTAATTCTATTTTTAAATTCTTCAGAATCTAAAAACCATAATAAAAAATTAAAGAAAAATAATTTTTTAGTTTTAAAATTCCATTTTGACAAACTCGCAGTTATGGACTGCAGATAAGTTTTTTGAACTACAATAGATTACAAATATATTATCATTTTGAACAAAATATTTACAAGACAGTCGGTAATATTACCAACTGTAGTGCAGTAAATTTTCAACGCACTTTCTATTTCACCGACAATGAATATAACTCTTGTAGGGCAGAGAATTATCATCACAGAGTCATGCGCATAAGTCGCAGGTTGGTTCAATTCCGCTTTCCGTGATGCTGGCAAGTGGCGCCTGGACACCACCAGTCTGAAATCAGTGATGGCCACAGCGGCTCTCGAGATTTGTGATGTGTTCTCGTTCGATACGGTGCTTGATTCTTGAAATTTCCTTGACATTCACTATTGGTTCATTGTGAGAATCTAGAAACGTAAAAACAGGTAGGCAAGTCACTGATGTCTGTACCCATTGAAAAATGAGTCTTGCCACTTGATAATTTTTTTTTTTATAACATCGTGAGAAGGAAAAGTCGTTCTTGACGCAAAGCGTCGCGCATTGAAAAAATATTTGACAGCTGCTATTTAAGAGAGTTATTATAATATAAATAGGATAATAAATCTCCCGACTAGTTTGAATTGCGTAATTGTGTCGCGTGCACTTCTTTGACTGCGTAAACGTAGTGGTTTTACAATCGTTTGCTTCAAATGGTTTTGTGGTGGCGGTGGTTGCCAGTGCAACTTGCACATGAAGAATTGTGGTAATCCAGTCGACGACGACGAGTTTTGGTTGGTGGGCAAACATTACATTATATACACACACGGGTCATTTTTATACTCTGCGTCAAAAACTTGCCGGAGGTATATTGCATATACCGGTAGGGCAGGTTAGATATAACACTCTCGTGTGGGTCGTAGTGTCACGAGCCCGATTGTCAATATAGTGCTGCACAAACACATTCCCGGCACAACCCGCCCTACTCTGTTCACCACTGACTCGACAAACCACCCAACCTATACAATTGACTTTCAATGAGAGTGTTAAAGAAATTTTTCTTTTTTTTAATACTGATGTGATGGGATGGGAATAGTGACCATTATCCTACTGAAGATACTTTACATACTCTAAAATTTGTTTATTATTTATGTAAAGGAGATACTCTTTAAATTCGAGATTAATGAACAATTTAACTAATTTGTATTATTTTTAAAATTTGTTCATTAATTTAATAATACTAATTCAAATTAGTGGAAATTTTCACTAATTTTTAATAAAATATTACTATTAAATTTAGTATTTTTTTTTATTAAATTTTAGCGAAAAATGATTAAAAATTAGTACAAATTTCCACTAATTTAAATTAGTTAACGAATTTTTACTAATTATAAGTTGCTGAAAAATTTTTAAAGCCTAAACTTCATTAAGATATTGGAGATATTTAAAGCCTAATCTCTAAATCTGAAATGGTCACTTTTAATTAATTCAATTGTTGACTAATTGTTGGTAAAAAAACTACTAATTTGTTTAGTAAGGTATTTATTTTAATTAGTAAAATTTAATGTTTATTTTCAAAATATAAAAACTTGCTCTCTAAATCTGAATTAGTAAAAATGTTTACTAATTTAAATTAGTGACTCACTTTTTGCTTTAGAATTATAATTATTTTTGTTGAGTATTTTTTTTATAATTACAAATAGAAAGATTGTAGGACAAACTTTAAATGTAAGGTTAGCTTTTTCTAAATTTATTTTTATTTAAAAGAATAAGTATGTATATGTACTTTAAAGCACACAATTTTTACATTTTTAAAAAGAATTGAAGTACTGACCATTGTCCATTATATTAACATACTTTAAAGCATAAAATTGATATATAATTTTGAAAAATTTAAATACTGAACTGATTATTATAATACTATGGAGATAATGTTAAACACACACTTTGTTTATAATTTAAAAAATTAAATTTAAATTGACCATATATACACACAGTACATTATGGAACTTGTAAACGTTTATTTTTACGAAATTGAAAAACAAATTTAATTCCAAAAATTCATATTTTTAATCTTTTATGGTATTAATTTAACCTGCAATCCTTTTTAATACCTCATAGTTTCCTGTGGCTGTGACCTCATATTAATAATACTCATACTTTGACCGTACGTTAAAAATACTTTGAAGCTACTTTGAAACTACATACTATGAGCTTACATTGAAATTATGTAGAACCTACATAGAACCCACTTTGAACCTATTTTAACCTACATTACCTACAGTACTTTTCATAAAATTTTCTGACTTTTCCTAAATTCCCTGATCCGTGGCATCCCTGTTGACTCTATTACACTGAATCCACTTTAACATATATTGGACTTATTTTGAGCCTATATTGAACCTTTTTCGGCCTAAAAGGCGGTAAATAACCGACTAACGGAAGTAAAGGTACAACTGAATGATACTAAAGATAATTTAAAGTCCATACATGAAAGATATAATTTATGTTTATATATTCTTCACTTATTTATAAACTGTTTTAAACTATACTTGAAATAAAGAAAAATTAATTTGTTTCTAAAAAATTGTTACTTTTTCATAACTCGAAAATTCGGATACTTGTTTAAAAAAAATATAATACTTATACCTTTTCTGTGTAAAGAATGAACAAATATATTTAGCCGAATATTTTAAAGGTCGATCATATACGTATTTAATGTGAAGTCGCCCATTGTATACAACGACCTAGATACAATTTACTTGTAATTAGAATATTAAGATATTGACCATCTTAATACTCGAAGAACAAATTTAATTATGGTAACATTTAATTTTGGTTGTGATATATATATATATAATTTAGTTCTAATTGATTTAAGAAGAATTGGTTACATTAAATAAAATTATATTGTTACTTTAACAAATATTATGGTTATTTTAACGTAATTATATAATTTACAAAATAGAGTATTGACTATTTTACAATACTAAAACTACTTTAAAAACTAAAATTGATTTATTCTTAAAAATGTCGATACTGTTAATAATTAAGGGTTCATACCACTTTACACGCTTGAAAATGAAGCTATTTTCTATAATTTTTTTTACGATTCCTAAGGATTATATTGATCTGCATTTTTTTTTAGTTCAATAAATACACTCTTTAACTTTATAAAAAACCTCATTTTATTCAAAAAATATTATTTGTTTATATATAATTTAACAATAATTTTAGACCTGCTAAAAATACCGATGCCAGCTGCGGGATTGATTTCTCAGGTTAGAAAAATCTAAAACACAAAATTCAAGTTGATTTATCTTCAGTAGGACTGCACCTATCACCCGAACTAGAATTTTTAATTTGTATGCAAAAATAACAAAATGGCGGCAATTTAAAATTTTTTTTTCGAAAATTAAGGTTTTTTTTGGCAGTTTTAGGGTTTAAAAAAATAGTAAAAATGAATATTTTTTCATAATTCTAGTTCCGGCGATACCCACTTATGTGACGAAGAATTTCGTAAAAAAATTTTGAGAATCGGTCCAGTAGTTTCCGAGAAAAACATCCCGCGGTATGGAAAAATGTTGTTTTGAGAAAAACGAATTTAAAGTTTCGTATGAGTAACAGGCGCGCCAATGTACGCTCTCAAATAAAATCGTAAAAAATATATTTACACTGCTCAGATCTTTCTGCAATTTTTACACAACATTCCTGGAATGTCCTTCTTTCGAAATCCGTAAAAAAAAATCGATTTTTTGAAGTTGACAAAGTGGTATGAACCCTTAATAACTTCAACTTCAACTTTGTAATTATTACAAAGTTAAAGTTTTAATTACACTTTAAAATTTTTTTTAAATTTTGAATTTAGTTTGCATTTTTAACAAAGAGAATATTTACCATTATACTATTGAAGATATTAAAGAATCTTAATTGACAAATGATAAATTATATTGATTACCCACAAAAAGAATCTTTAGAAAGTTATTTTTATTTGAATAGTTAATTAAAAATTATTGCCTGAACTACTTCTATTCTGTTTAAATTGTGTTTTAAAAATTTTTCAACATTTAAAAAATTAAGAGTAAACATTTTTATTTAATAGGTATTAAAAAAAATAATTCGAGCCAATTTTACTAATTCAAAAAAAAATTAACGGCATTTTTGAAAATTTTTTATTTTTATATACAATATATTGTAATCTTCTTTTATATTATCAATTAGAAAAAAAATTAATGCAATTAATGTAATGTTTTTAAAAATCTTACGTAACTTACACAATGTATTTAGACGACACCTATTAATTTATAAATTGTTTACACAGTTTGCATAACGTTTATTATTCAATACGTGCGAATAATATTGCGTAAGAAAGATATTCACGCATCGATTTATTTTTCTTTTAATTAAATTTTTTCCGCGTCAATTTTTATATATATCGGATTGAAAATTCTTGCCAAATGTGTCAATTTGTGTTTTAAATTTTTTATTGAAAATCCGAAGATATATTATTTAATTTTTTATTGCAAGCTTGCAATGTACGCAACAGTAAGTGTAATTGGATTCCCCGTTTGTATATATAGATGAGAAGAAACGCGAGAATAAGGATAAAATTTCATAAATATTGAAACATTCTCTCGAATATAAAAACAAGTTATTCATGAATTTACATTATTTTGCATTTGACGAATAATATTTACAAAAAAGAGAAAAAAAAATTAAATGCAAATTAACTGTTTTTTAAACTCTTATCTTTTACGAATGTCTATTGTATGTTCTAAAATTTTTTAACAAAACTTAATGGAGAATTTATAACTACGTTATCGTTACTGTTATATTTATTAATAGTCGAATTTTTGGTTTTATAATTATTTTTTCTCTAAATTCACTTAAAAAATTAATGGAAAAAGTTTTCAAAATATATTTATTTGGAAACAGTTTTTTTCACGAAAGCCTCGGGTTGAATTTTTCTATGTCTTTGATTATAACAAAAGAATACATAAAACAAAGAGAAATAATTCACAATACACAACAAAAGATTTTTAAGTCAAAAAATATGTCATAGATATATATATATATACAGTTATATCATTAGTTATAGAAAAAAATTTGATACCTCCTAAATGAAACGAGGAAAATCGAAAAGAAAGAAAAATAGAAAAATTAAACTTGGGACGAAGTTAGACGCAGATATCATTTCTAATTATAAAAATATCTAAAACCCATTTCAAGGATACACACACAATAAGTGATTAGTACATGACTAATCATTAATAATTTTCTAATGCGGGAACTATATATTCAATTAATCTTCAAGTACATAAAGTTTTTATTTCTCTCTAACAAAAGAATAAGATTAGATTTTTATATTATTTAATAGTGCAGAACATGCGGTGGACTATATCAATCTCGTTATGTATATATTATGCGAGTTCAAGTTTGGCCGGAAAGAAGAAGGAATCGTCTGACAGAAATAATTTCTCGACAAGAATAATGCCTAATATTATTAATGACATAAAATTAGATTTTAAGGACGTTTTACTTCGTCCTAAAAGAACTACATTAAAAAGCAGATCAGATGTGGATTTGTATCGAGAAATTACGTTTCGCAATTCAAAACAAACATATAATGGAATACCTGTGATGGCATTTAATATGAAGACTATTGGAACTTTTGAAATGGCCACAATTTTGGCAAAGTACGGATTTTTTACAATTCTGCATAAATATTACACAGTAGAAGACTGGAAAAAATTTTCTGATAAATATCCCGATTGTATTAAATATACTGCTGCCAGTTCAGGAACTGGTAATGGAGACTTTGACCGTTTGACAAGTGTTTTAGATGCAGTATCAGAAATTTCATTTATATGCCTTGATGTCGCAAAGAGTTATTTAAAACATTTCGTTCAATATGTGAAAAAAATAAGGGCTAAATATCCCAATCACACTATAATTGCTGGAAACGTTGTTACGGCCGAAATGGTCGAGGAATTAATTCTTTCTGGGGCAGATATTGTTAAAGTTGGCAAATGAAAATTTTCTATTGTTCGTCATCAAGTACTTCTATGAAAAAATACGACGGAGGTATTGCTTTATTAACCAGTGAAAACTGAAACGGTCATATCACAGAAAAAACCTGAATTCAAATTGAGTATAGATTCTATACTCAATTTGATTCGCAACAAAAATGAAACTGGTTGTCTCATTTCGAGTTCTAAGGTAAAAGTTTCAAAATGAAACAGGCAAGTTTCATTTTGAGAAAAAGAAAAATGGAAAAATATTGTGAAATAACGAATAATTTTGCACAAAAACATGAAATATAATAATTACAAAGAAGTAAATAACACGCTAGACTTAATATATTTGATTAAAAATTGCTTGTAATCGCGTAATAAAATAATAAAGGAAATATGTTTTTAGGGTAGAAAAATGAAAACATGTGTTTTGACAACAGGAACGGTACTGCCAACTTAAATAATAGCGGTAAATTTAAAAACTTATGAAATTAATTATTATCTACGTAAATAATAATAAATAATTTTTATTTAAAAACTTCTAAATATTCGTACTGGTCAAAATAATCTTTCTGGTGTTGTTGAAATATTAGAAACAATAATTGAAATACAAAATTACTCTGCTTATGATGCCAACTTAGAAATCTGAAATTCCAGCCAATATCATTTTGAATAACATGAAGTTTGTCCCATACTCATTTCGATACCCAAAAGAAAATGAGTTGCAACAAAAATGAGTCCAAGTTTTTTCTGTGATACAGAAAATAAATATGATCACGCTACTTAAGTTGAAAGACCTCATGTTCTTTAGAGTCGACTATCGAAAAAAATGTTTTAAAATCCACTATTATTATTATTATTAAAGTTTCGAATTCTACACGTACAAATTGTATTTATAAAAATAACTTCCGAAGCGCCTGGACAGTAAATATTCCAAACTTGGAATTCGAAGTGTGGTGTAAGGAATGTCAACGTACTTAAAAAATACTTAAAAACTGCCAGACACATTTAAAATAAATTATCGAAAAATTTCTTTTTACAATCAAATTTCAAAGTAAGTGACATGTAGAAATGTGTCACTTACTTATGCTTTTCCGTTGCAGGGTAGTATAAAGTAAAGATTTTCGAAATTCTAAATTAAAAGGATAAGTAATTTAAATTTTTCAAAAAAACAAAAAAATTTCTAATTTAATTATTATTTCTTTCATAAGATTATTGAGAAAAGAAAATTAAAAAATCAAAAATTGACGGCGCCTTCAAGAAGTCCAATTCCTTTGTTCCCTGAATTCAAACTAACACCGTCGTCCCAACTTCCAGCCATTCCTCTCCCCCTAACGCTTCCAGTTTTGTACGATCGTCTTATCCACCGCTATCGTCCCACCTCATCCCCCTTCTGGCCCACTTATTGTATTGATTCATCCCTAAGTATCCTAGTGCGTTAGTATATCCTAACTTTATATATATATATATATATATATATATATATTTCGTATATAGTGGTACCTCGTTTTCTTCCCTATAGACTTCCGGCTCTAGGCTTTCCAAATTGTGTTTGCCCCAGAAACCCGAAACCTAATTTTTATCTCTCCCCTTTTCGCATTTGCAAGCTTCAAATAATTCGGGTCAAACTTCACCCGCTATACATACATCAAACGATTTTCAGGGAATTTTTAAACAGCATTTTTCCCCTCTTTTTTTTGAATCAGAATTAATTCATCCTGCAATTTTTATTATGTTGAGATTTAGTAAAACGATAAACATGGTTTTTTTTAAAATTAACATTAAACCGTGGTTCAAAGCCATCCCAATTTCTCACATTTAGTTTAAATGAAAAAAAAAACTTTTTTTGTAAATTTTTATATAAAATTAGGAAAATTAATAATTGAATCGCTGGAAACAATAAAAAGACGTACGTTCGGCTGAACTCTGTAAAGCCAGTCAAACAGTCAAAATTATAAAAAAATCGAAATTTTAATTTTTGAAAGCTACTACCACGTAGGAAATGAAAAGACGCGTTTCCTTTGAGATTTTTTCGTAAAACGAATAGTTTAAAAAATAATAACAAAAACAGTAAAATTTAAATTCTCAAAATTCATTCAATTTTTAAACATAAACCGTTGTATCTTCGATAATTATTAATGCATTTACTTGGAATTTAATATTTAAACGCCTTTCGGTCCATAGAAGGCAACAAGATAATGAAAAATTTAAAAAAAGTGAAATGTTTAATCATTTTTAATTGTTAATAGAGACCCGTCGATAATCACCGTCCCGTATCTTTGCCGTCAAAAAGTCTGTGGGGAAGTTTCTAGTTGAACAAACTTCCAGTGAGACATTTGTTCATTACTATTTGAGGAAGTTTTCTGTAAATTTTCATAACGATTCCTCAATTATTTATTGAAATATGTTAAGTTTTAAAAACTGGCGGGCGCACCGAACGAAATTAATTTTAATCACATTCTCTTATAGTAAAACATGTATGTGTTATATTTTGCAATAAATTTACATTATTTGACGCTTGAAAGGATATTTTATAACATTTAAATTCGTATATAACATTTTTAGAATTTTAACCAAACATCTTAAATTATATGTCAGATGTTTTAAAAGATTTATTGAGCTTTTTCATTTTATTGAAAAAAGTTTAGATGTGAAATATTTTAAATTTTTAACATAAACAATACAACAGTAATAAAATGTTAAAAAAAATTTTAAACAAAACATTGATAAAATAAAAATTAACTAATTATAATTATTTATTTTATTTTTTAATTAATAAAATAAATATCACCTAATTATAATTATTTATTAATATAAATATATATATATATATATATATATAATTTTTTTAAGATTTCCTATAAAAAGAAGCATATTTCGTCAAGCCAGTGACCATGTTTTTTGTTATTATTTTTTAAACTATTCGTTTTACGAAAAAATCTCAAAGGAAAAAAAATATGCGTCTTTTCATTTCCTATGAGGTAGTAGCTTTCAAAAATTAAAATTTCGATTTTTTTATAATTTTGACTGTTTGATTGGCTTTACAGAGTTCAGCCGAACGTACGTCTTCTTATTGTTTCCAGCGATTCAATTTTCAAACACGTTTCTCTACTTCTCTTCAGATATATTAAAAAAAAAAAAATTGAACTGCTGGCAACCAAAAAGGCTTACTCTTTATGAACAGTTTGCTTCCTGATGGAGATATAGAGTCTATAAAATAGGTGAAATAATATATTAAAACTTATATAAAAATTTAATATAACTAAACAACACATAAATTATGTTTTCAAATATTTTTTAATTTGAAACATAAATAATTTTCTAATATTTTAAAGTAAAAGATTCACAAATTTATCAATTGATTTGTAGTTAAATATTCTTTAAGTTGATTACACTGACATACAATGTAAAAACTTAGGTAACCGACATTGTCGCTTAGGCTGATTGTAGCCTGTTTATTACTACTGAAATCAGCCTAAGCGACAATGTCGGTTACCTAAGTTTTTACATTGTATGGCAGTACACAGATCTACAAAGTAAGACTTTTTTTTACTCTCTAATCTGAATATGTGAAATTTTCACTTTGTTCATGTGTGAATTTCTTGTTCACTTATTAGTAACTGGAATCAACTTATATATAAGTGAAATATTCACTTTTTCATGTGCGAACTTGTTTTCACTTATCAATAAGTTTTAGGAATTCTATCAAATAACAATTCGTGTAAATAAAAATTTAAACACATGAAGATTCAATAAATTAATAATTCTGACATTAAACAAATTCGAATCACTAAAATTCTGTTGAATGAGAATTTTAATAAATTAAAATTGGTTTAAACTATAATTCTCTAAAATAAAAAGTTGAATAACAAAAAATTTCTTAAAATAAAAAATATGTTAGGGTAAATTCAGGGGAGATGTCCAACTCAATTATTTTACAGAATTTATTATTAAATGTCACTTATGATCGATATTCGAACTTCATGTAATGACAGAATGTAAATAAAAGTAAAAAATATGTCGAAAAAAATGTATTAAATATAAACTTTTTTATTATTTTGCCTTACTTATAAAAATTATGTACTTTACAAAAAATATTAAATTACTGAAGAGGACCCAAACCTAGGGTCGAAAGTTGTAACGTATAAACAAAAAAACAGCTAGTTTCAATATTCTTAAATCAATAACCCTAGAAACCACTAAAAATTCTATTCAACAACTTATAATTTTTGTAAAAAAAACTTAAAAATTGTTCTCCAATTTGATTTTATGTTTTATTCTGCGTTTGATTAGGAGGTACTGTACGTGCTATATTGTACAGTATATGTTTCTTTTGATTTGATTAAAAGTTGAAGGCAATCGAGTCTTGTTAGAATCTCTTATCATCGTGATAAGTTAATTGCCAGCTCTTGTGGCTGAAAATGTAATTATCTGACAAAGCACATTTCGATACGATGCATTCGTCTACTGCATGGACAGCCTCCTATTATTGGATCATGCGCCCCTAAAATTAATTGCCATTCATCGATTTTGGATATCAAAAGTCAAATGGAAAAAATCTTTTTTTAACATTTCCATAAGTCGTGTATGATGATAATAATTCAATATTTAACTAATCGCCTATAAAAAATTAAATTTGTTTCTCATTTTAAATTCATTACAAACTATCATTATCATTTATATTTCTATAATATATATCACATAAATTTCCGTAAGTTACTTATAATTATAACTTACGGTAAATTTTACTTGAAGTTGGAAATATTTTACAATTATAAATCGTTATTAATAAAATACTGTAACTTAATAAAAAATACGTTAATGAATATATAAATGAATGAATGCGGATAATTATTAATGAATTATAAAGAGTAATTGTACGAAATAGGAAAACGTCAGAAAATATATAATCAACAGGTAGCACAGTTGAATTATCGACTCTAATATATAGTTCAATGTAATTAAGGTTTTCGAAGCTCGTCACGAAAGGAATTAATGACAATAGAGAGGGTTTTGTATTTTAAATGCAAGGGTATATCACGCTTTTCTCTTGCTTTGAGCTTTAATTGCTGGTAAACTGAACCATTCAAGTTGACTCTCTTTATAGTCGCTTATAATGCCTTTTCCCCACTCCCACTCTTTTGTGCTTTTGAAACTCAATAATCTTAAACTTCACTCGTCCCATTATTTTCAGCAAAAAAAATTACAAAATCAATAATATTACCTATAGAGAGAAGAGAAACAGCCCTATATTTGTTTGATAAATCGAATTTTAATAATATTTTTCTCTATTTGATAATACATATGTGTAATATTGCTATTTTATTCAATTTCATTTTAATTATTATGTTATATTAGGCCAAACCTTAGGTCATGTTAGGCTAGAAGTAAGATAGGATCAAAGTTTTTAGGTTATGTTTGCTTATTGCTCTTTCCTAAAGTTTCAGATTATTTTCTCCCTTTGGCATATGATTTTGAATTTTTAGGTTATGTTCTTCTTTTGGAAGTTCAACAACTAAATTTTAAAGTTATGTCCGATATCAGTCATTTTAAGACTATACTTGATTTTTGATATACTTAAATACGTGAATTTCAATTTTAAGATTATGTTTGCCACCTAATTGGGGTCTTTGATCTAATTCTTAATGATACTATATAATATATTATCATCGTGTAATATTACCATCAGGTAATTCTTTTTTTATTCATTTTGAACAATTGAAAATAAACTCAGTTGAATTATTTTCAATATCATTTTAAAATTTTATAAAGAAATATTAGTAGAATTTGTTATAGGGTAAGTGTACCAATTACGGCGCGTTAATAAAAAATAACTATTATTACTATTATATTTCATATAACTGTTGCAAAATGATTTAAAAAAATTATTTCAATCGTTTTTTGATACAATTACTTATAAAGATTCACATTTAAACAATTATTAATTTAATTATTTGAGATCAAATTTTTTTCCGCGCCGCAATTGAAACATTTTTAAGATTTCTATTGGCTTCAATTTCGGCAGGCAAAGTATCTTCAAAATACACATAATTTTGGTCACCGAAACTGATACAAACGCGCCGCAATAGAAAATTACGGTATTAGTTTTAATTTCTTATATTTGTTTAAATAATCGATTTTTATAACGTTAATATTTTTTTAATATCTAAATAACATAAACTTTTAGTTTAATAAGTCTTAAATTGGGTTTATACAATAGAAATGTCGAATTTTAGATTTCAAAGGTGTTTTGACTTGAATCGCGCCGCAATTGGTCATATTATATGGACATAAAGGTTTTCAGGGTTACTGCCCCGCGTGGAAATGGAACCATGGGTAAAATCATAAAAACCATGGGCGAAATCGATTGCCAAGGTAAATACGATTCGACCCATGGTTTAAACCTTGGCAAAAATCTTAAAAATCGTTGCTCATGTCCGTTTTCCATGGTACAATTTTCCATGGGAAATTTTTTTTTTTAATTTTACGGATTTTTAACCATTGCTGAAATCTTGAAAAACTTGGAAATTTTTTTTTAATTTTACTGATTTTAAACCATTTTGTTTAAAGTATATCCCAACTGTGATTGCTAAATCACAACTCATGTCAACCGACGATCCCAACTAGGGCGACCAAGGTTGGCCCAACTGTGGCTGCCCACCGTCATTCCAGATTGTCGGCCCAACTAAAGCAGCCTAGGTTGGCCCAACTGTGGCTGCTTAAGTCATGCCGGCCATTGTTCTCCATAGTCGGCCCAACTAGGGCGGGCAAGGTTGGTCCAACTGTGGCTGCCGACTGTCGTGTCAGATAGTCGGCCCAACTGTGGGAACCATGGTTGGCCCAACTAGGGCGGCCGACTCTCGTGCAGCCCTAGTTGGGCCGACCATGGGCCAACCAACCATCTCTGGCAGCCGACCGAAATTCGCACCTGGGAGTCGATTATGTATTTTTTATTGCAATACGTCAAATTGGTATCAAAAAATAAATTTGAATGCGACGTTAAATTGAAATAAAAAATTAAATTTTAATTTAACGTCTAAGTTAAATAAAACAATGAATTTGTTAAATTAAATTTGACATTGACGATAAAATGAATTTGATTTTGACGTCAAATCAAATTACATAATCGACACCCTGGGTTGCTATAATCTTTCGAACCATGGGAAAATTTTTTTTTAAATTTACGGTTTTTAAACCATTGCTAAAATCTTGAAAACCATGGGAAAAAGTTTTATAAGTTTTTTGATTTTAAACCATTGCTAAAATCTTGCGAACCATGGGAAATTTTTTTTCTATTTTACGGATTTTGGAGCATGGTTAAAAACTTGCAAACCATTGGGAATTTTTAAAATTAATTTTTCATATTTCGCATTATTTTTGCAATGGTCAAAAATCCGTAAATTAAACAAAATAATTTTCCCATGGGAAATTGTACCATGGGAAACGGATATAAGCAATGGTTTTTGAGATTTTTGACAAGGTTTAAACCATGGGTCTAATCATTTTTTCCTTGGCAATCGATTTCGCCCAAGGTTTTTATGATTTTACCCATAGTTTCATTTACACACGGGTGACTACGAATCTGAAGTCCATTTTTCAAAATTGAAAATGTCAGATATAGAATATCCGACATTTATAATATGGAGGAAAATTTTTTTAAAAATTCATCTGATTATCTTGAAACTTATTATTTGGGGTTTTTTTGAGTCACTGATTACGTATCCAAGTTTCGATTTTAAAAATTCACAATTGCAGAACCATCATATTTGATCCGCCATTCTGCATTTTTATAAACAGACTTTAGATTCGTAAACAGTGACCCCAAAAATACCCAGATAAGCGAGTTTCTCCGTGCAGAATCCAATATATATATATTGAATTTCAATGTCAATCCAATACAGATAATCAGTTTAATTATTTTCATTGTATTAAAATTAACTTATATATATGTATATATAATTTGACTCAAAAGTTTTATACCTCTCATGTAAACTTTACCGTGTCTCTCTCGAGACTCAAAGGTAAAAGTGAATTGAATGTGAATTCAATAAGTCTCGGCTTTGATGTTGCATATGTTATGAAATTATAGAGGGCGCAGTTTTCCCTCCCTCCTTTTTGAATTTCCTGTTCGTAAGCCTTGGTAAAATGAACGATATACAGATACACTTTCAAATTTTCGAGAGATAATGTTTTATCTATTTTTTTTTAATCAGTTTAAAAAATAGTATGGAAAAAATGAAATTTTATGCAAGAAAAAATCTTTCCCTATTGAAAAAACACGTACAATTATACGTATAATAATACGTATAAATATATGTATAATAATACGTATAAATATACGTATAATAATACGTATAATTATACGTATAATAATACGTATTATTATACGTATAATTACGTATATATAATTCTACGTATAATTATAGGTATAATTATACGTGTTTTTTTCAATAGGGTTTAGAAAATTTGTACAAAAATCCAGTATGGAAAAAAAATTTATTGCAATGAAACATTTTTTAGAAGTAAAAAAATATCCTTTTTCAATTTTCCAAAAGCGACTATAGAAATTGGAATTAGTTAATCAGCATTCTGCACCTGTCAGTAGTGAGAGGAGGAGGAGGATGAGGTGAAATAGAAGGCTTGTAGTAAATTAAGCCCAAGTAGAATTTACTGGCAATTCACAGGTAGTAAATGGAATAACTTTCGAGTAACTATATAACGTGACTCGCAATTATTACCAAAGTTTTGACGTTTCCAAATATATTACGACCGTTATTGACGATTTAAGATTCCCATGTATTTTGGATTCTTTTATAAAAGTTTTATGGAAAATTGCTTCTATTTCATTTGATGATGAAAATTTTAGAAATATTTGAAATTCACTTTTTCATCTAATTTGAATTATTGAAAATTTTAACTAACGTAAATTATTGACTGAATTTTTATCCGATACAAATTAGTTAAATTTTACTAAATAATGGAAATTTTTTTATTATCCCATTTACACAAATTTAAATTAGTTAAAAGTTTTATTAATTCGAAGTATTTTATATCAATATTTTATATGAAACAATAAATTAAAAAATAACTTTTTTTCCATTCAATTTTAAGAAAGGTATAGCTATATTTTTCAAATTAGGAAAAAAATGTCTGATTCACAGAAACATTATTTTTATAATATTTACTGAAATGGTACCCCGTTTGCTATAATATCTGACCGGGCCAACTTCCACCATGTAGATATTGATTTCTTGCATTTTCTTGCGGTAGGTGGAAGAAGCCACATTTTCCGCTGTATATAACGAACGACTCAGGGTTTTCGTGAATATTCAACCAGCTTGGGAAAAGCTTCAACAAAGTTCTTTCATTGTCCCAGAAAAGCAGAAGATTGCACCTCTTTACATATCTGTTATCTTTTAATGAATTATTATTAAGAATTACAATTATTTAACATTATAAAGCAGCAGTTGAAAGCAATTAAGAATTTTGACATAACAAAAAGTAATCTAAAAGGAATTGTAAATTTTTTGTTGTTTAATAAGAGAGGATTTTTAAATGGTAATAAATTTAACGACAATGTCAGATGAATGGGTGATAGGGTGAATAAATGAGAGAAATTACATTCTATAACGGGAGCAATAACATGTTAAATGTTGTCATTAACAAAACCATTATATAGGCAGGAGTTTTATCGTTATACGGTAATAAAATGATTTTACTGTGTTCTCTAGAAATGGCTGAAGACGGAGCTATTGGCTCTTCCGGCAGTAACAGCAGCGGTGAAGCTAGTCGACTCCAACTGTTGCAAGAGATGCGACAACAAAATTTTGACAGCATACGTTTTGCTTCATATCGTACCGCCTGCAAACTCAGGTTTATCCAGAAGAAAGTTCACAGTAAGTTTTTTTCTATTAACACAATAAATTCAACTAGGAAAAATGATTTGTTTGTCTTATACATGTCGCATTTTAAGGGATTAAAAGGATATTCAGTATTTTTAAGTTTAAATATTAATAAATTCGTGTACTCTGGGATCAGACAAACGAAGATGGTGCCACACAAAATTGAGGTGGGATATAATTCTCAGAAAAAAAGGTATTGTTGGATTCGATTCCTACGATTGTTGAAGGATAAAATTAAAATATCAAGCTTGGACTTTTGGCGAAACAATCCCAAGTAATTGAGGAACTCGTTGCATCAGTAAAGGATGATAAAAAATAATTTAAACTTCGTGAAGAACAGTGCCATGGAGACATACCCATATGGTGGTAGTCTCCATGGCATTATAAAGCAGGAGATGAAGAAATTTCTGCAAAAGTTAGAGAGAGTTAATCCCTTTCCCCAATAAAGAGTTTTGACACTCCCAATGGTTAATTCTCCTGGGGTCTTCGTCTTCTCTTGACAAAAAAAGAAGAGAAGGCTTAAAAAAAGATGGGGCGAATCTGCGGGTTACATTAGAAGGAGACCGTGGAGACTTTAGTTAAGAGGATCCGCGCTATGACTTCACAGGTGGAGAAAGAGACCTAAAAAAGAAAAAGAAAGTAAACGTAGAAAAAAGATGAAAATTCTCCTGGGAGTCGTCGAATGAAACAAAACGACACTCACGTAGAAGGAAGGTCAGTACTACGAGAATATCTTAAAGGAAATGATAACAGGAGTCATCCCTAACGAAAGCAAAACTTGCTCCGAATAAAGGAATAGAGGATTTTAGCCATCTTCCTGAAAGTTGAGCTCGTTTAATGTACTGGAAGATTTTAAGGGATCAAAAATTAAGAATTCTCTTGCTTAACTTTGAGAAAGAAAGAATTGTACAATATTTCTTGATACATATTGACGGACAGAGAGGCTATATATTGTTAAATAAACAGTTAAAAATTAACGTATTTCACTTGAAACTAATTTCTCAGAGGTTTTTTGGATCACTGATTACAAATATCTACCAAATAACGAGTTTCAAGTGAATTCGATATATTGTAAGAAATTCATTTACCATATTAAATTTGAAATTCTTGAAACTGACTTAAGGATTCTTAAACAGCGTGTTTTTCCTATCAGAATCGCCAAAAGGAGAATTTTTTGAACCTTTTATTCTTTTTATAGACCAGGTCACATATTTTGTAATGTATGCGAGTGCATCATAAAGCAATTAAATCCGAACGATTTAAAAAAAAAATCCTCCATATTTGTCCGAAATTTTGAACTTTGAATAACTGACACCGGATCCGTAATCAGCGACCCCAAAAACCCCCGAGTAACGAGTGTCAAGTCAATTTTGTTATTTTTAAAGAGAAAAAATGTTGTATTTTGACCCTATTGAAAATTCCCACATGGGATCCTATATATGATTCCATATAGGTTCCTTTATAAAAACCGTTAAGAAATCCTAGGTCGACATAGGAATCCACATAGAATTCCATGTAAAATCATATTTGAAATTCGGACACGATTTGGTGTATGATTTCATGTAGGAATTTATGATGTTGTTTCTACATTAAAATCTATGTTAATTCCTACATTATTTCCTATAATTTTTCTGGCATATTATTTTTGTCAATTTCCTTCATAATCAACTCACATCAAATCTTATAAAAAATATCATATAAAATTCTAAAGATTTCCTTATATGAAATCTTACATACAAGTTTTAATATAGGAAACCATATGGGATTTCATGTGCTTTCTTACATATGATTTCACATGGATTTGAACATAGGAAATCACATGGATTTATATATAGGGAACAATATAGGATTTCATGTGATAAATTTCAGTTGACTGTTTTATACAGAAGGCAGTTAACAAAAATTAAAAATTATTTAATTAAAAATTAAATAATATTACTGCAATTCATCTGAACAGAAAAAAAATTGTGCTTTGCAATACACCTTCTGAGTTAAAGTCTCAGCTTATATAGTATTCAATAATGATCTCAACTGTGAGAAAAAAAAATTTTCACCATCTGGCGGCGTAAGAGTGGAATTATGATTTACATTTACATTTCCTATGTAGGAATCCATGTGAGAATATTTTTTCTTTTCAGATGAATTGCAGTAATATTATTTAATTTTTAATTAATTAATTTTTAATTTTTGTTAACTGCCTTCTGCATAAAGCAGCTAACATGAAATCCCATGTGATTTCTTATGTTCAAATCCATGTGAAATCATATGTAAGAATGCACATGAAATCCCATATGTTTTCCTATATTAAAACTTGTATGTAAGATTTCATACAAGGAAATCTTTAGAATTTTATATAATATTTTTTATAAGATTTGATGTGAGTTGATTATGAAGGAAATTGACAAAAATAATATGCTAGAAAAATTATAGGAAATAATGTAGGAATTCACATACCCAAGAAGCACGTAATATATCCTCAATATCAAGGTAATATTACACGTGAGATTCGTAATATAACGCTGTAATATTACAGTAATCTTACAGTGGTCTTAAAATGTCCGCCTCAAGGTAATATTACCGGGAATATTACTGTAATATTAACGGTAATATTACAATAATATTACAGACTGATTTGAGTTATTCATAAAGCATAAAAAACGTAAATATATTATAAGTCAATTTGGCTTGTTGGTAAAACTCTGGACTCGTGTGCTTTGAGTTTGGGGTTCGATTCCCTGGATGGGTAGATTTTTTTCGTAAAGAAATATTCCCATAATATTACTGTAATATTCTCTTGTAATATTACCTTAATATTACGGTATAATATTACTGCAATATTACTGTAATATTACCTTAATATTAGCGCGTAATATTACAGTAACATTACCGGTAATATTACATTGAGGTGGACATTTTAAGATCACTGTAAGATTACTGTAACATTAAAACGTTATATTACGAATCTTACATGTAATATTACCTTGATATTGAGGTTATATTACGTGCTTCTTGGGTAGATTTCAATGTAGAAACAACATCATAAATTCCTACATGAAATCATACACCAAATCGTGTCCGAATTTCATATATGATTTTACATGGAATTCTATGTGGATTCCTATGTCGACCTAGGATTTCATAACGGTTTTTATAAAGGAACCTATATGGAATCATATATAGGATCCCATGTGAGGATTTTCAATAGGGGATAATGGGCCAAAAAAAAAACAAAATCGCGATTATTTAAAAAATTTGACCCGATTTTGAATAACGGCTAACGCCATTGATTTCAGTTTACCCAAATTAAGTTAATTCACTATATGTCCAGTTTGTTCATTTTTTGAACTAGCACAGTGTTATTATTTAAAATGATTTATTTCCATATAAATTTTTGTACAATGATTTCCTTTTATCCCTTTTTTATCTCGAAGATGAAAATACTTTATTTATTTTGCCACTAAAGAACATATGAATTTCTTTTACCCCTAAGAAATAAAAAAATGATTTCCTTCTATTCTACACCCATAGAAATTTCTTTTTCTAAGCAAATATAATATATTAAAATTAAGTAAAAAAAATATATTTCTATTCATATTTTTTTTCAAAGCACAATTAGATTTAAAGCACCCTGACACAAATATATTTTATCTCATGACACTCGCCAATTGTTTCTAATTTGTAATTTTTTGTCCTTTTGACATATATATATATATATCTTCAATTTAAAGTTCTATTGGGGTCAACAACATACTTTTGACGACTATTTTGTTAACAAGCTAAAATATATTTTTTCTCTGAAAATCGTGAATGAGATTTTAATTAGAGCTGTTAAATTAAGACTAATTAGCTTTCAGAGATTAAAAAAATATTTACTTTTATTTTCTTGTAAAAATCATGTTTCCCTTTAAAATTATTTTAATTAAAAATAAATTGTTTCTTTTTTAAATTTTAGTGTTTTTGAATATGAATATTGTTTCAGTGCACAATGTTGACATTTGGAATGTAATCGAGGCATTCAGGGAAAATGGTCTTAATACATTAGAGCCATCGAGTTCACTCGGCGTATCAAGACTTGAAACACTTTTGTCTTCCTTATTTCATGCTTTAAATAAAAGAGTTCCAGTTGCGCAACAAGCTAAAGTTGATACAACAACGGCCTTACTTATGAATTGGCTGATAGCGGCATATAGTGGGTATGGGATATATTTTTATTTTCCTTATTTAAATTTTCTTTCACTTACAAACAATTTTAAAATACAAGTTTTTATTTTCAATTATTAAGTAAATTTTTTTTTTATTTAGAAATTAATATTATTTCCTACAAGTTATTATGAAAAACTTAATTTTTTCGTTTTTAGAGAGGGCAACAAAATTTCGGTGTTTTCTGTCAAGGTGGCCCTTGCAACACTTTGTGCTGGCAAATTAATGGACAAATTTCGATGTAAGTGAATTTTTTTCTTTTTATTAATTTTGATGATATAAAAATATAATTCTAATGTCTATTTTTATTTTCAGATATTTATTCACAAATATCTGACAGTAATGGTCACATGATTCATTGGAGATTCGATGAATATTTAAGAGAAGTTTTAGCTTTGCCGGCCGCTGTTTATGAATCACCTTCTTTCGGTTACTCAGAATCATTAGCGAGTTCGATTTTTCTCCCGGTGAGTATTGATTTATAATAATAATCCTTAATTCCTTCTTTAAATTTAAGATTATATTTTTTCTCACTTTTTTAGAACACAAAAGTCACTGTCAATGATTTCTTGGATACCCTAATGTCTGATCCAGGACCCCATTGTTTAATTTGGCTCCCTCTTTATCATCGAGTCGCTGCTGTTGAATCCGGTATGTGCATAATTGAATTATAATTTCTTCACATCATTGAATTGATAATTTATAAATTTTCAATCCATTTTTGTTTAGTGACTCATCCTACCATGTGTGACGCTTGTCACAAGGAAAATTTCATGGGATTTAGGTATCGTTGCCAAAAGTGTCACTCGTACCAACTTTGTCAAGATTGTTTTTGGCGAGGAAAAGTTTCGGGTACTCACAACAATGATCATGATACGAGGGAGTACAGCAGTTTTGTAAGTTAAACATTGTTTTTAAATCTAATTTTATTTCTAAACAAGGTATTAAGTCTTACTTTTGTCATTAGAAGTCACCGAGTAAACAAATTGGTCATTCTTTGAGGAAGAGCTTTCGATGTGTTCCCGAGAAGGGAAAAAATCACATACCAAGGTTTCCAGAACAGCCGGAAAAAACTCTGGATTTATCACACATTGTGTAAGTGGACTTTTTTATAATAAATATCATTTAATGTAACTCAAGCTCATTTAAATTTCTTATATCTATTTTCGAATTTCAGACCTCCTTCACCGTTACCTTCTCATAATGGATTTCCGGATTCAGGATTCATGGCGCCTTTTGACGCTGGATCCATGGATAGCCGTTCCACTTTACGAAGGTAATTTTTAAAACTAAACTATATTCTATTTACTGTCAAATATACAATTAATATAAAAAATATTTTTTTTTTTTGGAAAAAATTAGCATGGACAGTTCAAGAATGGACGACGAGCATAAATTAATAGCTAGATATGCACAACGATTGGCTCAAGAGGCACGAACTGTTGTAAGTCGTTTAAAAAAGTAAACATTATTCAACTTCAATTCTAGGTTAACAACAAATTTCCCCCCGATCTTCGTTGAGAGAATAACAGTTGTTTATAATTTCGGTCTAATGAAATTAACCGGGTTTAATATTTATTTTCATATCATTTTCACAGCCTCGTGCCGCTTCCAGAATGTCACAAGCGGAGCAAATGGTGAGTGTAATTGTCCAGTATTTCAATTGACATTAGTTGGAAAAGATGTGAAATAAATAGAATGTTTTTTTTTAAATTTTTTACGATTAATTCTTACTAATTGGCAATATTATTTCTTCAGCAAGGACGAGCACCATCGGATGCAAATCTTTCATCATTGGAAACATCGAGGGCGCAAAGGGAATTGATCTCTCAATTGGAGGCGAAAAATAAAGAAATAATGCGAGAGATTGCAAGGTTAAGGTATACCTGTGTCGTTTAATTTCCTCTAAATCGAGCCTCAACCTCGTGATCATCCCATCGTACCATCCTAGAATCACGCATGTTCGAAAAAATTTTTTGGTTCAGCTTTATGTATCCTTGGTTGCATAGATGCACTTTTAGATTGTAGTAGAAAAATGAAAACACTCTTACAGTAAAAAATCACACTATAAACTATAATATAACTGTTTAAAAAGCTTTAGACTAATGCTTTACTAATACAACATTATCATACATTAAACACATATTGTAGAGACATCGTCGCCACATTCTTGAAAAAAAACAACAGAAATTCCTCCAACTCCAGGAATTAGGGAATTAGTTTTAATTAAAGTTTTTTTTTTTGACGTTAAAAAGCCTAATTATTCTAACTTTTCTAATTTTCTTTCAAACTTATTTAGGAATTTCATCCGTTATTTGAGGAAATTTTCTGCCAGGTTAGGAATTTTGTAAAATAAAAAAAAATTAGAAAAATAGGTCTCTCCTATTGACTGAATTATTTTCCCTATTTCCTTAAGTTATTAATATTATCTCAAGGAAATATCTTCAGGTATTTGAATTGATTTCCAGTTTTTCCTAAATGTTGGGATCTTAGAAATTAATTTTTGCAGGAATTTTTGGAATTTTTCTAAAGATGCAATCTTTGCGAGATCTTCAAATAATATCAATCCTTGATTAGAAAATTAATTTTTTTTTGCTTTGAAAATTCGTTCTTTTATTATCTAAGAATTATTTCAGTAAAGAATAATTTCCTGTAACTTGTTACAAAATTTTATTTATAGTTTAAACTTTAGAATCCCTTCAATTGAAATTATTAAATTATTCATCAATTATTAACTATTCCTTAAATATTCTTCCAATTCCAGGAATTAGTTCTCCTTAATTAAAATTTCGTTTTCAATCTACAAGTCTTGGAAATTTTTTTCTAAACATAATTTCTTCTTTTGGATTTAAAATCAATTCTTTTGTTATTACCTATTTCTTCCTTTGAGGAAATTGTTTTCCCACATTAGGAAACCTGTACATTATTTTAGGAATGGGATCCTTCAATTCGTTAAACTATTTTCTCTAATTGTAAATAACTTAAATAACTCCCTTAAATTCCTTCAGGTCTGTAAATTAATTTTTAGTTTTTGTTAACTGTTAGAATCCATACCCGCAAGTATTTTGTTTACTTTAGGAATTAATTTCTCTAAAGTTGCAATCTTCATATCAACAAGAAACATTAATCCCTGTTTAGTAAGTTAACATTTTTGGTGCGGAAATTTGTTTTCCCAATGTCTAAGAATTAATTCTAAAAATTAACCACTTCCCTTGAGTTTTTAAAGATATGTTTTGTTACTTTTCAAATTGATTACGATAACAAATCGTTAAAACTTTAGAATTCCGTCATTTTCAGAAATATTAAAATCTCTCATATGTTATTACAATCCTTCAATTCAAAGAGCTGCTTATATTTTAAAAAAATTCTACCAGCAAGTAAACATTAGTTCCTTTAACTCTAGGAATTGGAGTTTTGCTGTTGTTATTTTTCCATTTTTTAAAAACTGATATCCAGAGTAACGATTGATTTTACTCGTACAGGAGACAACAAGAAATCGAGGCAGCTGGGTTAGAAAATCCCGCTTTGATGTCGGAATTAAGAGCTCTTAGGCAAAGAAAAGATGAATTGGAGAGTCATCTGGCGACCCTTCAAGATTCCAGGCGGCAACTTATGGTACAACTCGAGGGCTTGATGAAAATGCTAAAGGTTTGTTAAAATATTTTCGAAATTTTTTTTTTATCATCCGAAATCCGTACGGAAGTTTAACACAATTGATTGAGTTTAATTAAGAACTTCTTCTATTTTAAAAATTTTTTCTATTATTTTTTTAATCATCACTTCTAACATTTTATGCAACCCGGTAAAATGGCTTGAATTGAAAAGAATAAAAAATATCTGACATTCGATAAAACTGAATTTATTAATTCTACTTAATTCGGAAATTTTTTTTTTTCAATACTCTCAAAATGGATATAATTTAGAAAAATTTAATTCATTTCTATTCTAAATGCAAATTGTATTCAATTAATCGAATATATTTCGTAAATTTTTAATTCTAAAAATATTTGTAAATTATGAATTTCGTTGAAGAGAAAACATTCATAATATTTTTTAATCCCAAGTAATTCCTTACGAAATGGGCGATGTTGAAAAATTTCTATTCCAAAAGTGGAATTGGTTTAATATCTCTTTAATTCTTTTCAATGACATATACGGTAAAAAAATCTGCTTTCCTGCATTATCGACACATCATTTCATACTAAAAATGAGTTTTATACAGTTTTGGATTGAATTTTTTTTAACAAATTTTAATTTAATGTTATTGCGAATATTTGGATTACACTTTGCTTTGCTAAAAATGTCATGATGGTAATAATAATTGGCAATTTTTTATTAGAATCACCAAGCATCACCGAGATCGACACCAAACAGTTCACCAAGAAGTACAAAGTCTCCACCACTGCCACCGGGTGCAATTCCCAGTAGTAGATCAGCACCACCGACACCTGGTGGACCATTGTCAACATTACAGCATCAAAATCAACACACCATGTCCCAAAGCTACCAAAGTCCAGTGCCCACAACGTCAGTAGCCAATATGTCTGGAAACGCAATGCTAGGAACGGTACAGAATCCTATACCGGATAGTCTCTCTTGTGTTGGAGGAGATGTAAGGTAGGAGGGCATGTGAAGGAAATTGTATTGCGAACTGAAATAAAGACGTATATACTATTTTGAATATAGTCAAATTGAAAAGAAGGGGGGGAGGGGAACCGAATGCTTTAGCAGTAGAAAATACGAGTGAATGTTATTTTCATTTGATGATCAATATCAGAAATAAACTTTGGCCAAAAGGCGCGCGTTCATGACATTTTAATTGCAGCCTTAAAAGTCCTCATCAATTATTCAAAATTATTTTGGTAATATTTGGTCATATTGGTAATTTTTTACTTAAAGGAAACTTGTTTTTTTTTATATTTTTCTACGATTTTAAGTTAGTGTTGAATTTTATTTTTAAAGCAAAAAATTCATTTTGAAGAATGCTTTTTAAAAACAATGTAATATTTAAAATGCATTTATCACTCTTAAAATAATTGAGAAATGGAGAATTAAAATAGTTTTTAAAAAAAATTTTGAAAAATTGCATTTAAGCTCGAATTTTAATTCGTCTTTTGGCCAATGTGATCATCCATCAATTTTTCAGTTACATGAGCATGTTTTTTAATAAACACTGGCAAAAAAAAGAAGCATGACGTGTCGATATGCTTTTAGTAATTTTTCACGTTATAATCGTTGTGTGCTGCTTATCACAGTCAAATAATTTTTAAAATCAAACTTCATCGATTTTTATTGTTTTTCATATATGTTATGATTATTATTATTATATTTTATTATGAAGCTACATTTAAAAGCATTTTAATATTATATATATATATATTATTATTATTATTATTAACAATATTAATATTGTTAATATTGTTATTTAATAAAATTTAAAAACGCCATTTTAAAAAGAATGTGAGAAATTTTTTTAAAATGTTAAAGTTCATAATTTAAAAATAATTTTCTAACGAATTTAAAAAATTAATTTAAATATCTTTACAAATGTAGTTTGAAACGAATTTTAAAAACTGATTTGAAAAGAAATTTTTTATGAAATATTTAACAAACTATTTTTCTTTTAAGCGTAGAATTTTTTAACCATATCAGGTATATTATTTTTAATAAGTTTTGTGTAGTTTTTCTTTCAAGAGTGGCTCTGTTTAAAACTGTATGTTATTAAATAAAAAGGTATAACAAAAAAAAAATATATATATTTCGGCGTAACTTTGATTGAAACTATCGAAGAAAAAAGTTTTTGTTAAATTTCAAATTTTTATTGTAGTTGTATTAAACTCGAAATTTGCTCAATTCATTTTCGTTGTAATTCTTTTTTATTATTATTATAAATTGTAATTTATTTAAATATATATATTATTTTTAATCGGTGGATTTAAAAAGAAATTTACTATTATTGTTTCGTGACAAAGAATTAATCTATGTTTTAATTTTGTAATTTTTAATTTAACTGTGAATTTTAATTATTTTTAATTGTATATTTTATCATTAATGAAAGTACAATGTAAAATCGAAATCATGTTTCTCATTTCTCGAAGTACATCACAAATTGTATAAGGTATAATATATATGGGTGATTAAATTTAAAATTGCATTTTCACCAACTACAAATGTTGACTTGGCAATGTTGGAATTGATGGTTGAATTATTTTCTTTTTGTTGGTTAGCATGTGTAATCCATAACATGAATTGTAGGTTGAGCACATGGTAGAAAATATTTTAATAATCAGACAGGTTTATAAAAACTAAACAATATGTATTTCTACGACACACTATTTTAGTAAGTTTTCAGTAGAGGAGACTCAAAATACAATCAGATAGGCCAACAAATCGTTGTTTTTTAAATTTTAAGATAATATTAAACTTAAATTATTTAAATTTTTTTCAACGTAAGTCAGACGCTAAATAAAAATTGAAAAAATTATTCTGCTTCCTTTAACTTTTGCCTCAAATAAATCTACTGCAGTTTAAATAGTGTAAATACTTGGTTACTGAAACTAAATAATCAAATAAGAATTATAAAATAATTTCTATTGAGTTTCATTGTAAATATTATCTAGTTGCAAATCGCAAGAAAGCGCAAGCCGCTGGGTCTCATATGGGCCATGATTCCGTTCACTTGATTTACCAATTAGTAATTGCTAAAAAATATTTGAGGGATTCCTTACTTTTGCTACACTCTGTATATTAAAAGTTGCAACACACAATTTGCATTTTGTAACGATCAAAATTTGAATTTTTGACACTAGTTAATACTATCTAGAAGAAGTGTGCCAAATTTCAGAAAAAGCTGTTCATTATTTTTGAGAAATCGTGACTACCGTCTTCAAAAATAGAGTTTTGAGAAAACATAGCGTTTAAAGTTAAATGATATAAACGTCAGATTTTCTTTTTATTTCATCGGATTCGTTTAAAAATCTTTACTCTGGGGTTTTTGGGGTCGCTGATTACGGATCCGGTGTCACTTTTCCAAAATTAAAAATGGAGGATCCAATATAGAGGATTAAATAATTCAAAATCAATTGCACTAGGTACCGGTCGAAACAAAAAGCGTTTTCGAAAATTCTCTCTTTTTCATAGAGTTTTATTCACATTATTTTAAAACTTTGAGAAAATATTGTTGACATGTTAGATACTATCAAATAAAAAAAGAAAAAAAATCGATTTTTTTACCCATACAACCTCTTAAATAAAATCATGTGAACAACAATTTTGGTGCAAATTTGATAAGGAAAAGAAAAATTAATTATTGGAAACAAAAATTCTTGAAATTTACACATTTTTTGACCTTCTAAAGTAGGTGCCCTCCCTTTAATAATTTCACGGTGCGCCAGAAGGAGGTTTAAATAAAAATGAATTGGCACTTAAAAATTCTTTTTGATTATGGTTCTAAGATGAATAAAAAACTTTTCTCAATAGGTTTTAAAATTAGCTTACGTGCCCAATTTAAAACAAATTGAGTTTTAAATATTTAAATTTGTTTTATGAGGAACCAGAATTTATTTAATGTATACTTATATGCATATAGATAATAGATGTTTTAGATTTGGGTTCATATAAATTTATTAACAATGAAGTTATTTTCTTGTTTTATATTTATGCATTAAGAGTGTCGAACGGTATCTGAAATTCTTTGGTAAGAAGAGAGTTTTAATTATCGCTCTGAACGTGAAATAGTATTGATTTTAAAATACTTTTTTCTCGAAACACGAACACTTTTAACAAAATCAGCCAAAATCCTCATCTTATAAATTTCCTAAATCCAAAAGACTGTACGAATCCATAGAAAAACATGGTTGCAAAACAAAAAGTAGAAAAATAATCTAATAACAGCTGCGACTTTGTGCGCCCTGCATGCTGCTGCCATCTGATGGCAGCAGGAGGTAATGAACCCCTCATTATATTACTTTTCGTTTTGCAATCGTGTTTTTGTATGGATTCGTATAATCTTTAGGATTTAGGAAATTTATATAAGATAAGGATCTCTAGCTGCTTTTGTAAAAAGTGTCCGTCTTTCGAGAAGAAAGTATTTTAACATCAACGTTTATCATTTTCACGTTTAGTGCTGTTTTTATAGAGCGATAATTAAAGATCTCTTCTTGCCAAAAAATTTCAGAGACCATTCGACTCTCTTAAAGAAATTTTGTCACTCTTAAAATCGTTCTTTTAACATTATAATTAAATTTTTTAAAATTGGACAAACACACTACAGCAATATAATTATTTATATGTAAAATTGAAAATAAGTAATTATTTTATCATTTATTACTGTATTTATTAGATTAAATAAATTCTGATTCCCCATAAAACACTGTTTTTATATAAAAACTCAATTTTATTTAAATCGGGCACGTAAACTGATTTTAAAAACTATTGAGAAATGTTTGTTATTCATCTAAGAATCATAATCAAAAAGAATTTTTAAGTGCCAATTCATTTTTATTTAAACCATCTTCTGGCGCACCGTGATTTATAATTACAATTTGTGATATAACTTTTTGAGAGATGTTACAATTTTGAAATGATTACGAAACAAAATGATTATGTATAGTTTGGTTGTAATTATTTAGTTACTTTGTATGTATTTGTAAATTGATTCAGCATGGTATTTACAGTGATGAGAATTAAGATTTCCATTTTGCAATAATGCGCACCTCATAAAAGAATGGAAATTTTATTTCTTGTGTATAAAAAATAAACAAAAAATGATTCGGTATTTCAGTGACAAGTCAATTGCTAGTATAAAAAAATCGACTCTTAAGCGCGGTAATATTCCGCATTTTATTTTTAAATGATTAATTAAGAGAGCGCGAAACAGAGAAAGAAAGATTTTATGTTAAATAATAATTGTATAGAATTGAAAATGCGACATTTATACATGTATAGTTTATTGTGCGCTTGTCTTTTAGTGTTAAAATATTCTTAGGTTTGGTAGAAAGTCCATTATTGTATAGTATAATTTATCAACAAATATATATATATTTTATTTGGAGCCTGTAATAAAAAGCATGCTGAACGAAAATTTCTTGAGTATGTTTAATTTTTTTCGTTTGCTGAAAGTTATTTGCTTTTGCGCCAAGAAAATAGAGATTTTCGATGTCAGGTCTGCGTTCAGGACAAACAGTTTACCCGGAAGTGGATCGAGCAGTGGGAACAATAGCTTGGGAAGATCCTTAAGGAATGATTTGTTGGTAGCTGCCGACAGCGTCACTAATGCTATGTCGACACTCGTCAGGGAATTAAATTCAGGTACGTCTGTGTCATATCATCAACAGCGGCTTTATCACACAATTATACATATATTTATATATATATTTATATATTCTTATATATATATTTATCTATATACATATATATATTTTTTTTATCCGATGTGAATGCAGTTTACACATGGTCATTTATTGTTTTCTTTTCTTCTGGCAATGAATAAAATAGTTGCTGGAGATATTTCAAATTCTTTAGAATTCTGTCCATGCTATCGCGTTTTATAAACATTTTCCTAAAATGAAAAAATCGATAGCATGGTCTTTTTTAAATCACTTTCTTTTCATTTTTCGTGGAATTATTTTTTCTTATTTACGCAGTTACGAGCGCGAAGGGCAGGTGAGAGTACTTACTGATGAGTGTTTCAAATTTATTTTTAGGTGTGGATCTCAAAAATTTGTTATAAAAATATTTTTTTCACACATTTTTGGGATTTACATATGATACCAATCGTTTAGAGTAGCAACGATAGGAGCATATATATTTTTTTGTAATTAGACACGTAAAACGATTTCTCTCATTTATAGAATTATAGGAATCATTCATTTTTAAATCATAAATTTTTCTTTTATAAATTTCATATCTAGTTTTATCATGTTTCAATCGTTTCAACTCATTACGAGCATGGTGTATCATTTGTAATTTCATTATTAGTGCTTCATCTCAAATATGGCATTCAAGATCTTATAATATTACTTTCGCATTAAAGAAATAACGTTCTGAATTATTTAATGAAATAAGTACTTTTTTAATTTTTTCATTTAGTTTTTTTAAGGACAAATTTTATAATTTCTTCCTTAATCTTTATATTTAATTAAAGCATTTATTTATTATTCTAATACCAAATTTAATTTCATTCGTTTCTTTGTTTCTTTGTTGACAAATCATTCTAGAGATCACAAATTTTATTCGTTTTTAAGGAGAGGCTCTCATTGCGGGGGTTCAAAAAATCGATTTTTATTGCATTTTTTGAAAGCTATATATGAGAGATTCTTTTTCAATCGCCCCAGCCCAAAAAGTCAATGTTCTGGGATTGGCTTCATACTTTAGTAAATTGTTGTCCTATATGATAGTAATAAATCCCTAAAATATAAACTCATTAAAAAAATATTTGTAGAAAGTAGAGGGGGTTGAAGTGTTGACGTTAAGGGTAACATTGTCATTTTAAAATCCGTATAACTATGACAAAAGTTAATGGATTTTAAATTATCTATAATGAATTTTAATGCATTTTTCACGTACTTTTCAAAAATTTATACAAAATTTAAAAAAAAAAAATTTTGACCCCTTTTTTTCAAAATTAACCCTTATTTTTCAATTTTCACCCCTTCGGGTATTTTTTTTTTTTTTTTTTTTTTTATTTTCATTGGAAAGCTGAGATTTTTTCCCATGAGCTATGTAAATATGAAAATGGGACAACAATAATTTTGTGAGAAACAGAATATTAAAGTAGGCGGTGCCGATAAGGGGTATACCTGGAGATCATCTTCGAGGATTTAGGTAGGCACCGCCTAATTTAATATTATGTTTCTCACAAAATTATTGTTGTCCCACTTTCATATTTACATAGCTCATGGGAAAAAACCTCAGCTTTCCAATGAAAATAAATTAAAAAAAAAAAAAAAATTCCCGAAGGGGTGAAAATCGAAAAATAAGGGTTGATTTTGAAAAAAGGGGTCAAAAATTTTTTTTTAATTTTGTATACATTTTTGAAAAGTACGTGAAAAATGCATTAAAATTCATTATAGATAAATTAAAATCCATTAACTTTTGTCATAGTTATACGGATTTGAAAATGACAATGTTACCCTTAACGTCAAAACTTCAACCCCCTCTACTTTCTACAAATATTTTTTTAATGAGTTTATATTTTAGGGATTTATTACTATCATATAGGACAACAATTTACTAAAGTATGAAGCCAATCCCAGAACATTGACTTTTTGGGCTGGGGCGATTGAAAAAGAATCTCTCATATACAAGTGAAGTGATTTTGCGATCCAAAAAATATTTTCGTTTCTATGGGGATCCTCACGGCCAAACTTGGCCAGCAGAGGGCAGCATCACTGCAAGATCGTAGAGCGCTAAATTTCAAATCGAGTTTATTCCATGATATTTAATAAACATATTATAAAATGTTTTTGTTCACTTAAAAGACGAATAAAATCATTTAATAAGAAATTGTGGTTATAATAAAGTGTGGGTAACTGTTTAAAGATTTTAGGAGACAAGCAGATACGGTCAGCTGTTGTCTGTTATTGCCAGTCATTATGGTCAATTTTCAGACAGCGTTGTAATTAGTTAGTTACTTACTTACTTATTTACTTACTTACTTACTTACTTAATTTTTAATGGACAGTAATATGTTTGTCGTATATATTCAAATTTTATTTGTATTTTATGAAATATTTATTTAATTTGATTTTATTCTTTTTCAATCATTACTATATTGTGAAAAATATAAAAAACAAACAAAATTTACTTATTAATCATTTAAAAATTACAATAGAATTACAATATTTCTAATATTCAATATGCAAATAAGTAATTGTTTTTATTTCATTAGACAACATAACCTCAATTTTTTTATTTTGTTTTTACAAGACTCGGAGTTTTTATAATACTTTTAAATGTATTTAAACAACAATATTAATATTTTAAGACAAATTAAACACAATTTATTGAAACTTTATGTGAGAAAGATTTGTATTTATGATTACACTTGCATATATTTACACATTTTCTTAGATGTATTATTTTATTTTATATACATACCTTTCTTGTAAAACTTTCTTTTTACCTGTAAGACGAAGTCCTCGCTTACGTAATTCGTTTTTCAATTGCACACACGACCAAGAAAAATATTTATTTATCTCGTTACTCATGTTTTTATTTTATCAAAACAAGAAGAAAATCAAATGTCATTTTAACCGAAATCAAAAATTTGGCGCTCCACGATCTTGCTATGGTGCTGCCCTCTGGGCTCAGCTTTACATATAATGGTCCCCATTGGGTCTTGAACTCACCGATGTCCTGTGTGCTGTGTAATAAAAATTAGTCAAATCCGATCATTTTTTTGTAAATTGTCTTACATATTTGATCCTCCGTTTTTAATTTTATAAATATGACCTCAAAATCATGTTGAGCAGCCTCAAAAACCTATAGATGTTGATGATTTGCGTGAATTAAAATAAAATACGAATATTTAATATAAAAAAGTTTCCAAATTTTAAACGCTTATTTCTCGAAACAAGATTTTTCAAACTCGGGTAGGTACATCCTAGTTTCTAAACTATTCAACCAATTAACTTCGTGTTTGCGGCTAATTAAAGATAACTAAATTCTTCTGGGGTTATACATATAATATGGTATAATTATTAACAATAAAGTTTTTATTACAAAGGGTTAAAAATGAAAAAATAGTGCAAAACTCTTACTTTTTAAAATAAAATGTGCGCCATTTTGTCATTTTTCAATTATTTGATTATTTTATAAGTATATAACCTATTCTTTAGGATGTCTACTTTATAAAAATTTTTGGTTTTTGTTCTACGTTCAAATAAAGTACATTTTGCAAATAGTGTACCCCATTTTACCCTTTGAAAAAAACATCGTTCGCTTTAAATTCGCCATATTGGCCGCCAATTTGACATTTCTTAGAAATGAAATGTATTTTTTAAAAGTTTAAAGATGTATCTTTATTTATAAAAAAACTAGATCGATAAATCATAATTGTTCTCTGCAAAAAAATGTAAAATTTTGGGTTGTTTTCCGTCTCCGCAATGAGAGCCTCCATGATTTATTCAAAACAATTATTTTAATATTTTGTCGACCGATTGATAAAATCATTATTTATATAATTATTTTTTTTATTTTACTGAAATATTTTGTTTCTTGATTTAAATAAGAATTATTTAATGCAATACATTTATTTTATTGATTCAAGTAAACTAAACTATTTCATATGAATAATGCAACATTTACTTAACCTAAAAGCGAGACGTTTGTCATTTGTGCCTTTGGAAGAAAAAATATTGTCCAATGGCTGCCTTTGGACACTTGCTGCTTTATATATTATTTTTAGTTGTTCTATACTTGTAGATATTGTTTATAGGGAACTCTTCTTTCGATTGAAATAATATTCATTATCATAAATTGCAATTTTATGAAAATTATACTTGAATAATTTTTTTTCTATTTTGCACCTACATTAATTGTCCCAATGTGAGAAATTATGTATATTCTTATTTTAATTTTAATTAAAATACATTATTTCATTTCATTGTTATTGACCACAACTTTACTAACATGTTTCAATTAAAAAAAAAGAATCTTAGTTCCAATCGACGAGCAAATTTGCAAATTTTAAGTTTTTTACCTTTAAAAATTTTTTTAGTAAAATTTTTTATAATTATTATAATCAATCGTATGCCTCGCTCTAAATAAGTAGAATCTACTAAACAAAATCGTAAATTTTTCATTTTCGACCTTGAATGCCGTATAAGGGAAATCTCGAATGCCATTTTCCGACTACAAAAATTTTATAATACGAAATTCTCAAAAAAAGATATCCCTGGCACATTTTGTAAATACATATATATGGGTGATTCTCCGCGTAGCGCACGATTTGGTGTCTGAAACTTTAAAAATATTTTTTTATCGTAATGATAAATATCAATACATATTTTTGAAGATAAAGTGTCAAGAAATAAATATCCATGGTGGGCCGGAAAAATTTTTTTAAACAAATTAAAAAAAAATTTCTTTGCTTTTTGAATTCTATAAAATAATTGAAATTTGATTTAAAATGTTTATGGAAATTTTTGGGGTAATTCACAAAAATATATATAGCGCGAACGACAATTAAAAATTTTGATTTCGGTAATTTACGGAAATTTTCGAGGTAATTTATGGAAATTTATGTGGTAATTTATGGAAATTTATACGGTAATTTATAGAAATTTATTTGGTAAGTTATAGTAAACTTACCGGAGCTATGATAGTTTATAATAAATATTTTTAATTTCGTTTGTTTCATTGTGTATTAAATTTGCACTATACTAGTGACGGTGGAAATTCTGTGGCGGGTGGAGACGCCTGGGGTCAGTGGAACCAGTGGAACTGGCGTTAATAATTTTTTTTTTTTTTTTTTGAGAAAATTATCATTTATTTTTAATCGGTTTCATATGTTTCACATATATACAGACTAAAATAATATAACTACACTTTATTTAACCTTTATTATTTAATTAATTAATTTCTTTAAAAAATATTGAAGGGTCGGTGGATGCCGGTGGAGACGATTTTGTGATGTCCTGTACAAATTTGAATCTTGAAATGTGTAAAAAAAGGATAAATCAATTAGAAAATTGATTACTTCCTTCATGGATCAACTAAAGGAATATAACTTTTGCTGTTACTGAAGTAGAACTATATTAACATTTGACTTTTATTTAAATAATTCAATGTTTAATAATAAAACGCAGAATAACACACAAAAGTGCAGTCAAGTATAAATAGCTAAAAAAAAGAAAATAATTATTTTTTTGATCAAACGTTTTTTTATTCAATTCCACTACAATATACAATACTAAAATAGCAACAGAAATTGTATTTATTAGTGCACATTGCTAAAAATATTAACTTTTTTGTTTAAACATCCTGTGGGGACAGGTCAAATTTTGACGTTTTCAGCCTTAAAAACCACTTTTCACGAAAAATTATAATGATAAATACAAAAGTAACTATTGGTTTTTGTTTGTAATCACAGAAATTACCTTTTTACATTGGAATCGAAATATTATGTGAACATTATTTGAGATTTTTCTTTCACAACGTGAAAAAAAGCAAGTTGTGTGCTACACGGAGAATCACCCATATATATATATATATATATATATATATAAACACACACATTTTCATTTACATATATACCTATATATATTCAATCTCAATCAAAAAATGTTCATTGCATTCTCCTGCATAAGTTAAATTTAGTTTAGTTCTAGAAACATTTTAGTCTTATCTCATCCTTCAAGCAAGTCCGCAGAGGCGAATAATAAGGAACAAAAACTGAATGACGATTTTTATTTTTTTTTAAATTCTTAATCCCTTTGAAAAATTTTTTTTTAACATTTCAAAAAAAATTGAAAAATAAAATTCATAGATCATTATTGACGAAACGCATTTGAAAAAACTTACAAAGACGAAAAACCTAGACATGTTGTGGAATGTGTGTGATATGCACCCTCTTTGAATGTGTCCTGGTGGCTTGCAGACTCAGACCAGGAGGATCAGTCTCACAACTTTGGCCGCCATAACTTCAGAAAGCCGCTAGGTAAGTTATTTTTCTTCATCTTTTTTCTAGATTCATTTTTTGTCTTTTATTTATACCAATAAAAAAAGAAGAAAAAAAATCACGAGACACTTGCACACCAAACTTTTTATACTTATACGATCTTTTTCAAATCTTGATGTTTCTTTATTACAATGACATAATATTTAGACATATAACTGCTTCACAAAAAGGGGAAACTCCATTTAGATTATTATATACGTATAATTTATCTTATTATATTAGGTATATATATATATATATTTATATATATAGTCAACCTCAAAGTTGCTTTTCACGTTTACAAATGCTTCAGCAGTGCCTGACGTTCGCGAAATTTTTTTCAATTTTCTAGTCTTTAGATAATTACTTCTAGCTGACACATTTTTTAGATAAAATATGTTCTAGATAATTGTTTTTTTATTCTGGATATGCAAAAGTATCGAATTTTGGAATAGGACATGAAATACATATTTTTAAAGCTAACAGCTAAAATGTAAGTTTTCACGTAATACAGGATACATTTTATACACAGAAAAAATCTAGTTTCATTTTTGTTGCAACTCATAATGAGTGAATGTTAAACGTCATAGAAAGTGGCGCCACCAATCTGGCTCATTTTGATGTGCAACAAAAATACACGACTCATTCTGTGTTAGGTTTTTTTCTGTGATAGATAATTGACATTTATACGTATAAATTTGTATAGAGTGTTATATTTTAATTTATTATTATTTTTTTTAAAGAAATTGAAAATTTTTCTAAACTGAAAAAAATAAAAAAAATTTCTCAGTTAAAAAAAAGGGGAAAATTGTTTTTAAAAGAGAAAAAAATTTTTTTTAAAATTTTAAGCTCATAAAAACAACCTAAGTGCAAAAACTAAAACGGCCAAATACTGGCCCAGTATTGGCCGACTCTTGTGGTGTTAACTGCGGTTAGACGTCGGCATCCAAGTATCAGACGTCATTACTGGGCTAATTTTGACTGCCATCAGTGGCCCAATATTGGCAAAGTTTAAAAAATTATAATTATTAATTAATTAACTAATTCATTCATTATACATTTATAAGTCCTGACAGAAACCGCAACTGTTTAAACATTTGATAAATTTCTAACGCTCGCAAGAACTGAACTCGCAACCTAACGCATGGAAGTCTAACACGCTAATCACTCCCGTGCAGAAATTGCCCTATTTAGCCACATTTAAATTCAGGCTCTGACAAGGCCCTTGACAGTTTTTCCACAAGTTTGGGATGCCCCGAAATTACTCGGTTCTGCCACTTTTATTTTTTGTTCCTCGGAAAAAAATGACTTGTCAAAATAAATTCAATATATCAGCCGTCAATGGGCCAATAATGACCCAGTAATGGGACAGAGTTCGTTTCAATTATGAAAAAGTAGAATAACCAAGTATTGGTGCCAATATTGACCCAGTAATGTGACGGAGTTCGGCCCAATTATGGCAAATTGGAGTAACCGAGAATCGGTGCTAATATTGGTCTAATAATGGGACGAATTGATCGCTAGTATACTGGTCCAGTATTGTTTGCCGTACTTCGGCAGACATTACTGGGCCAATGTTGGGCCGTATAGCAGTCTTGGCATTTTGCACATAGGAAATTTATTTTCTAGTAAAACTGAAAATTTATTTAAACATTATTTTTTCGAAGCTCAAAAGAAAGAAATTATTACCGGATGAGAAAGAATAATATTTTTTTTAGAACAATTTTCAGTTTTTCTTAACTTTGAAGAATGGTTAGCCTTTTTCGTAGTTTTAAGTTTTTTGCAAAAAATTTTTAACATTCAGTTTTTCTACTATAAATTTATAAAAAAAATTTATTTCTTTGTACTTTGATAATTTTCAATTTTTTTTTTAAACTTGCGTCTAACAAGAGCCACGCAGAATAATCTTAAGTGATTTTTAAACAATATTGAAAGCAATTTTAATATTATAACGTTATTTGGTATGAGCTTTCATGCTCTTAATCAAAAAGTTAACAAAGTAGAGTTTTTATGAAATAACATACATTTTATGTGCCAAATTTTTTTTTCTTGATTTGTAATATCGATTTGCGCAAAAATGACAAAATAGTGGGTGCCTATATTGTAAAAAACTTATATTTATAAAAATATTTGAAGAATATTTCAAGTTTTATCCAAAATTTCGAGATCGATTTCGTGCGTTCTCTGGTGCGCTAAATATTTTATTAATGCTAATTCTAGATTGTATAAAAATTAGATTAATTGACATTAAAAAAGATGTTCTAGAAGAATTATCTTGTTATAAATTATATATAATTAAATAATAATAATAATGAAAGTCTGATGGTTCGCAATAGTGATTTAACAATACTGACCCTCCGGAAGTAATTTATTGTTAATTTTCTTGTGTTTGAAATTCAAGAATATAAAATATGATCAAAAAAAGAGTATAATAACGATTTTTTTCTTTCCTCATCTATAGACTTCGAGGTCGCTGAAGATGGTGACGACAGCAGTGGAGGAGGTAATTCTTGGCGGGAGGAATTACAACGACGCTATCAACAGGAACACGACTTCTTGGCAGAATTAAGAGCGAGAAATGTTTACGCCTCAAGAACACCGTCAACAAATTCGTGTAGTGATCTCGATAGAGGTGAAAGAGAAGAAGCTGAAGGCGAAAAAGAAGATGACAGCGCCGAGGCACAATGGGTTGAAGCCGTTCATCGATGGGTACATCGGTAAACGTCACTTTCCCCCTCCCAAAAAAAAGTTTAGGCCTTTATACTCGCGAAACATTCAATATTAGAGAATTTAGAGTCTCTGACTTTTTTTTGAAGAAAAAAAAATTTTCGCTCAAATATGCATTTAAATGAAAAGAAACAATAAAAATTTCTTTAAATATTGAACGAAAATTTCAATTGTCATAGTATTTGAAAGAGACCGAATATTATTAAATAATCAAATCATCAAAATTAAGTAAAAATTGTCATCTAACATACATTTAAAGAATTGTGAACAGAGGAAAGCAAACAATTTTGTGATTATGTTTGACGACAAACTTACAAATGTGTGTAATTTGACAAAAAATAATACATATTTGTTCAATCACTGATTAAAATCAAAAAATCTTTATAAAAAGCAAAAATAGCAAAACTTTTATTAGCATCATATTATGTAGATTTTCATATAATAATCTCTTTAAAATGAAAAAAAACGAGCGACAATTAATGCAATGGACAATGTTTGCTAGACTGCAATTTACATTTCTAGTTTAAATCGATAAGGCTGAAAGTTTTTATAATTCGAGGGATTTTATTATATACAAAAAAATACAGAAAAATTCTATTTCCATTTGGGAAATACAAAATAATACGAATTATAATAATACTAATAATATTAATAGACATTTCTTGACCAACGTTTTTCCAATTCTTGATACAACTATAAACCTATATAAGCTTACTTAAATGAACCAGACGTCGTTTTGTATCTTCATATACATAAATAGATAATATAAAAACATTATTAAATTCATGAGGCAAATTTTTTAAGTGGTTCGTAATAACTGACCAAAAAAAATAAAGAAATAATAATATAGTTCTGCAATAGATGATCAGCTCAATCAATAGATTTTTTTTGGATTATTAGTGCTTGCCTCTCTCAGATGGTGGTGCGAGGATATCGGATTTTCAAAATTCAAAAAGGTCGGATACAAAGTGGAGGAAGATTTTTTAAAAAATTTATTAAATAACAGTTTAAGAAGTGACATTTTTAAACGAGAATGAAAACAAACATGCCGGCGCATATACAGACATTTCTTGAGTGTGCCTGTGCTCCAGGAGACAGCGCCAATTCGAGCAAGTGACTGCTGAATGAAATTAAAAAAATTATAAAATACATTATTTTACTATTTATTGCTTTATTTTTATTATTCTTGCGTTAAGTTATAGTAAATGAGTAGAACAGCGAGGTTCCTTGTAGTTTCAAACCACAAAAAAAGTCCTTTACCCACATATCCTTAAGGGGGGTATGGTTAATTCGGAGTAAAAAAGGCACATTTTTAATAATTTTTTTCGGTAATTTGAATGCTCAAATGCTCATAACTTCGTCAATTTTGCTCCGATCGACTTGAAATTTTCACACAATATTCATGAAATATTATACATTCATTTAAAAAAATTTTAAAAATGCAAAAAAAATTAAATATCATACCCCCCCCCTTAAAACTCATTACTTGGAGATTTTCTTGATTACTGATTGTGACTTTTCTGTTAAATTTGTAAATAGTGACACTGAAAACTTTCAAATAACGAGTTTCAAGCGTATTTCATCAATTTTTAAAAATTCTTCAGCTATATTGGATTCACCATTCTGAATTTTGAAAAAATAATATCGAATTCGTAATCATGTACTGTTTTGCAGTTTTAGTTTTTTTTTAATATTTATATGATCTGGGTATGAAAGCAAATAATTAAATTAAACTTTTAGTATTTATTTGAACAAATTATTAATGTCATTTCTTTTAATTCAACACATTTTGTGAATAAAAATTTGTAACTTTCTCTGATTTATGCAATTTTTTTCTATTAATATTAATTGATTGTGTTGATAACTATTTAATTAGTAATTTTCACAATAGAAATATTATATTCTATATATTATATTATATTTTAATTTTAAAACGAATATAATAATTTTCCTCCACGAAAACACGAAATGTTTGATTGAACTGAGATGTGAACATAGATAAATTTTTCATTTAGAATTTCACAAAGTATAAATAAATTCATATAGGTATATATAAACGCTTTTTTGTTCATTGCAAAAGATCTAAAAAAAACAAAACAAAGAAAAAGAAAAATTATGTATTAAAATTTATTCGCTTGAAAGTGACGCATATATTATTATTATAAAAATAGGAAAATTTATAATATATTGCTACAAGATGTGTATAATTATATTGCCGAATATTTAAATTAGAATACGCGCGACATATAAATAAAAAAAAGATTTTTTTTCGTTTATAGAAAAAAAGGTCGCATTTAGTATCGTTATCAAAGCACAAGCTATATATTATATATTATATATATATGGGGTAAAATTCCTGTAGCGTACTAAGTGAAAGAAAGTTAAATTGGATCGAACTGTAACTAGCAAATAGTTTAATGTTATAGGGGTGAGTACTTTAACCACGAAGTATATTGTGAGCTTTTTCCAAAAACCGTAGGAGAGGGAAAGGGTTGAATTTTTTTGAAAAATTTAAACAGTGAATTTTTGAAGACTTGTAACTTTTAAACAGAAAGATAAAAAAAATTTGACCTATATGTTTTCGAAAGGTTTTTTCCTGCTGTTTTGAATGGAACAAAATTTTTTTTTAAAATTCAAAATTTAATTTTTTTTTCAAAGTTAAAAATGTGTATTTTCACCACAAAAAATATTGAAATGTCCTTTTTTGTTGTTTTCGAGATATAAATTAATTAATTAATAAATTAATGTTAATAAAAAATAAAATATTTTACAAATAAATGAAGCTATTGCAATTCTAAAGCTAGATAAGAGAATTTTTTATAAACAATTCTGTTTAAAAATGATAAGTTTTCCAAAATACACTGTTTACATTTTTCAAAAAAATTCAACCCCCTCCCTCTCCTTCAGTTTTTGAAAAAGCCTAACAATACTTCGTGGTAAAAGTACTCACCCCTAGGGCTAAACTATGTGTAAGTGACAGCCCGATCCGATCAACTTTTTTTTCACTTAGCACGCTACAGGAATTTTATCCCATATATAAATACAGATAAATAGATATATATTTAATTTATTATCGAAAATTTATTTACTACACCAATAATAATTGTTTAAACGATATATATATATATATATATAAATGAGCAATTCCACGTGAGATTGAGGGGTCTATCCTCCGATTCCTTCTATACTACGTTTTTGGGTTGAGGTTATGGGTCTAATTGAATTTTGAAAAAAATATTTATTATTTTTCGAGATATTTGCATTAAAAAAAAATTAGTGCAACGTTTTTTTTTAATTATTCATAATTTTTTCACTTTTAGTCCTAGCAAAAAGTTTCTTAATCGTTTTTTGCTCAGACAATATATCAAAGTTTAAGAAAAAAAATTAATTTTAAAAAATTAAATTTTTTAAATTCATTTATTTAAAAAATTAAATTTGTTTTTAATTTTTAAACTTGTTATCGGGCTCCGTTTAAGCTGAAAAAATTCATGAACATTTCTTAATATGAGCTAAAGCAATGTGCCAAATTTGGCGAATACCCTATTTTTCGTTTTCGAGATAATAATTAATTAATAAAAATTAATGAAAAATGAAATATTTTACGAACAAATAAAATTAGAATAATTTTAAAAACGCCATTTTAATGCTTATCAAAATCCGCATCCAACGAGCCCTATATGAACTATTTCGGATGAACGGATTTTAAATTAATAATTAATAACATTTGAAAGAGTGAAGATAAACAGTTAATTCTTTTTGTTTGGAAGATCATTTAATTATTTGTCAAATAAGACCATTGCAAATAGCATTTTTAACAATATAAATTATTAACAGATGATTATTGAAATTCGCTTATTAAACACCCTACGGCACAACTTGGCGTAGGTTTTCTACCATCTCGGCACGGTATTTTTCGGTCTTTCTCTAAATAACATTTTAGAATTAATTTTCGATTCTTAATAATACTTAATATTCTTTTTTTGACACAGAATTAGTTGCTCTTCCAAACAAATAAAAATGAACTGTTTAACGTCACTCTTTCAAATGTTATTAATTATTATAATATTTATTATTATTAATTATTAATTTAAAATCCGTTCATCCGAAATACTTCATATAGGTCTCGTTGGATGCGGATTTTGATAAGCATTAAAATGGCGTTTTTAAAATTATTCTAATTTAGTTGTTCGTAAAATATTTCATTTTTTATTAATTTTTATTAATTAATTATTATTTTGAAAACAAAAAATAGGGTATTCGCCAAATTTGGCACATTGCTTTAGCTCATATTAAGAAATGTTCATGAATTTTTTCAGCTTAAACGGAGCCCGATAACAAGTTTAAAAATTAAAAACAAATTTAATTTTTTAAATAAATAAATTTAAAAAATTTACTTTTTTAAAATTAATTTTTTTTCTTAAACTATATTGTTTGAGCAAAAAACGTTTAAGAAACTTTTTGCTAGGACTAAAAGTGAAAAAGTTATGAATAATTAAAAAAAAAAGTTGCACTAATTTTTTTTTAATGCAAATATCTCGAAAAATAATAAATATTTTTTTTCAAAAATTTTTTTACTCAATTAGACCCATAACCTCCACCCAAAAACGTAGTATAGAAGGAATAGGAGGATAGACCCCCTCAATCTCACGTGGAATTGCTCATATATATATGGGTTAAAATTCCTATAGCGTTCTAAGTCCTAATTGAAGGAAGTGGAGGGGGTTGATTTGTTTTAAAAAATGTAAACAGTGAATTTTTGAAGAGTTATAACTTTTAAACAGGAAGATGAACAAAATTTTGTCCTATATTCTTTCGAAAGGTTTTTTCCTGATTTTTTGAATGGTACAAAATTTTTTTTTTAAATTTAAAATTTGATCCTTTTTTGGAAATCAAAAATTAAAAAAATTTTTTTAAGAAGGTTGTCAAGCTATCTAATAGGATTAAGATTATTCTGAAATATAATAAAATACGGTTCTACTAAATTCTATTTGATTTTTTAAAATTTTCTTAATCAAAATACACATTTTTAACTTAAAAAAAAAAATAAAAAAAAGACCGATCTTAAAAAAAGTGAAGAAAATTTTTGATTTCCAGAAAAAAATGATTAAATTTTGAATTTTTTTAAAAAGTTTTTGCACCTTTCAAAGAGCAGGAAAGAACCCTTCGAAAACATATAGGTCAATTTTTTTTCATTTTTTTGTTTAAAAGTTTTAAGTCTTCAAAAATTCACTGTTTAAATTTTTCCAAAAAATTCGACCCCCTCCTACAGTTTTTGATAAAACCTAACAATACTTCGTGGTTAAAATACTTACCCACAGGGCTAAACTATGTGCTAGTTACAGCCTGATGTGACAAATTTTTTTTCACTTAGTATGCTGCAGGAACTTTACCCTATATATAGGTTTTTGATCTATATATAATGTTTGTATGAATTTGTTTCTTTACAATCTTTATGTGAGTTTCATCCCCAATTGTATGGATTTTTTTTTGTTGTCTTCTTCGTATTATATGAATTATAAATATATATATAAAAAAAATATGTAGACGTTACACGCGATTCGAGTACTTAATAAATAGAGCGATAGAAAACTTGTATTTTTTTCATTTCCTTCATTATAATCGACAACATGATTAAAAAATTTTAATTTTCGTAAATAATTTTTGAATTGTTGTAAATAAAAAAACCTGCCGAATGTAAAATGATTCATGAGTTATATTATTTATCAAATATTTTTGATTACATAAATTTTAATATTAATAAATTATCATTTTCCGTGAAGAATAAGAGTAATGAGTAATTCTGTAAAAATGCATCAATTTATTTAAAATAATTAATATACTCTAAAATAAATTTATTATACATATAAATAACATTTAGAATAGATATAATTTGTTTTTTTAAAGCGTGCGAAAAATATAATATAAATTATTGTAGAGAGAGGATGATGAATAAACTTTCATTGATTTTTCCATGATCTATATATAAAGAGCAACAGTTTTATGTCTGCTTTGTATTTATAAATTACAATATTTTTTTTTTATTTTTCTTTCTTGTCATCCTGAAATAATGGGATTTTCACCTTGATACAAGCACCGGCCATTTTACTGCCATAATGTCCATACCAATATCGTATATCTTTGCCCTGATGCCATAATTTAATTTTTCTCAAACCTCTGCCATAGTTTTGGAAAATGTGGTTGACCTAAAATTAAAGAATTTTTTTATAAATTATTTGTGAATAAAAAAAACGTTTTTAAATTTAAATGTGAATTTACAAAATAATGAAAAAAATCGGATAAGTGCGAGTTACACTCGCATTAAAACCGAGGGTTCCGTACCCTTAAACCTAAAATTTAAGGGGGTTAAAGTGTGAAGGTAGGTGGAAAAATTCCAATTTTGCTTAATTTTTCCTGTAATGTGAGCATAAATGCACATAGATAGACACATAGTCACATATAACGAAAATTATCGGTTTTTCCTTGAAAACGCTATGATAATCAACTCCAATCGTTCTGGCTATATTTTTCTTGTAATCTACACGTAAAAATACATACAAATTTATAAATTTGAATCCCTTAAGATAAAATTTTCTTCTTTTTTTATTCGAAAAATCCATGATTTTTTCTAAAAATATGAGTTTTCCTTAAAAACAATATGATCATCAAGTCCAATCGTGCTCGCTAAATTTTTTCTGTAATCTATACGCAAAAATACGTATGTATACCAAATATGAACTGTCTTGGTCAAATAGTGTGTGCGGTAGGAGGATTAAACGCTTTTTTCAAAATTTTTGATTTTTCCTTGACAACGCTATGTAAATTGATCCGAATCATGTTCGCTATATTTTTCCTGTAATTTTCACGTAAAAATACATAATTGTACCAAATTTGAGCTCTCTAGATAAATTCGTGTGGCCGCTAGGGGGGGGGGGTACATGCCTTGCTTCACTAGTCTCATTATTAGGGTTCCCCCTTCGGGTACGGAATCCTAAAAATGAAATCGCACATGTCCAATTTTTTAATTATTATTTTAAAAATACTGCTGTAATGAAAAATCAAAAAAATAAATCAAAAATTTTAATTAAGTAAGTAATTTTATTTTGTTACTTTAAAAAATGTTGAATTTTAGAATAAAATTCGTATAATGAAATAAAATTCTTACATTTAAAAGTTCATAAATTTATAGGCACAAGAAATGTTTAAAAAAAAATTTTTTTTAACGCAAGGTTTTTCTGTACAATGACAGGTGAATTTATTTAAATTTTTTAAATTTTCACGACGCAAGTCTCTCAAAAAGAGCTCCCGCGCAGTTTACAGGTTGGATTAAAGTACACAGAAAATTATAAGGTATTAAAATAAGCTGCAATGCTTATTATTTTAATGCCTTTTAATTTTCTGTGTACTAGATGAAAGTAGGTAAAAATTTACCCAGCGCAATTTACATGTAACAAATTTCAGGTCAGATATCTTCAGCAAAGGTTACTGCCACCGATTTTTGTGTATAAAAGAACAATAAAAATGGAAACATTACCTGCAACCAAACGTGTTGTTTTTCATCAGTGAGACTGTCGGCGAACTCAAAAGATGTTAGAACTTCGTCATCGTTTTTGAGTAGTGTCACTAAACATTCATAAATCGCTCCACAGTCGTATCGAGCACTGTACCACTCGCTAAACTACAAAATGATAATTATTCATCAATATTAAATTAAATTATTATTACGTTTGAAAATTATATCTCGGTATATATTATACAAAATATTTCATATTCACTTTCAAGCTAGGTCAAAATTTCTCAAACGGATCACCTAAAATTTTCAAAAAGTAATTAATTTTCAATGTTAAACAGCTTTTTCTACTCCTACTGCAATTAAAATATGTTTCTAACAAACATTATAATTATTATTTATTTTTAAAAATAATTGCGTATAATGAGACGTTTGAATTCGAAAGCTAATCGCGCATTGTTTTCAATAAAGAATATTAATTATTATCTATTCAATTATTACATAACTAAATAATAATTGATAGTCATTTTTTTCTAAAAGTTTTTATACTAAAAAATGAATGTGGAATATAAAACATAATTAAAATTTTAAATTGTACACGGTTTTTATTAACATTTTATAAATAAACAATTTACAAAATGGTTTAAAATAATCATTATTTTTAAATTCTACATTCCAAAAGAGAAAAACCTATTTTTTCAAAATCCTTAGATACAGTGGTTTTTTGTATAAAAGACTATCAGGAGAACAACATTTTAATTAAAAACAAAATTATTTGACTTTGGGTGGTACGTTTCAGAAATTTTTAATCTGGTGTGAAGTAAGATCTCATTTTTAACATTGAAGAGATTATGAACAACTCACTTGAATTGGTGGTTGAACTTCATCCAATATATGTGGAGTGAGTCCCTCTTTGATGAGATTAATTGTTTGTGTTTTACTGCAATAATGATAGGACGTAACGAAACATGTTTTCCTTTCGTGAAATAATGGTTCGGTTTCTGGTAGTGCCGGTACACCGCATGGTGGTTCCTCTATTGCCCATTGATTGCCTTGATTACGAATAATATGCCAATGCTTTTTAAGACCCTCACTACCGGAATGATTTTTAACTAAATTCCTCTCAAATGGTCCATGAGGTTTACAAATGAGATAATGCAACGACCATGGTAAATGTTCGTCATCAGCTGGCAATAGTCGACCAACAATTGTTTCACTTTTTTTTCTCCACACGTAATTGCGTATCAATTGATTCCATCGTTTACACACTGACATACATTTCACCAGGGATTTATGATCTACGTAATATAATACACTCGCCAATACTTCCTCGGGAATGTACAGATTATTTAATATTAAACCATTGTTGTCATTCTCGTCAAGAACAAATGACTCCTTATTTATTTTCTCTTGCATTTGTCCCATCATTTATTGAGCAATAATTTTTTTTCCGTCGCACCTGTTAAAAATAAATTCAAATTACATTTTATAAAAAGAGAAAAAGAATTAATTACATTAAAATGAAAATATAATTTTAATATATTTTAGTATATAGGTACATTAATAATAAATTAAATATTAATTATTGAGACTGTTATTTAAGAATTTTTCTGTGTAAACTTTTGTTAAGAAAAGTCGAAATAAAAGAGTAATTAGAACATAACCTTAAAATTCCAATTTTTTCAAAAAGTATAATTTAAAATTATAAACGTTATTTTTTTATTCATTTGAAATTAGAATTTGGACAATGACTTTACATACTTGAAAAAATGACACTATAACTTAGACTTTACAATATAAATAATATTGCTTGTTGTGTCTCCAACATAATTTGCCATCAGGCGGTTTTTGACTAATATTACTCGAATGTAAAATTATTATATGGCAATGACATCATTTTATGAATCATGATTACAGTAACATACTAATAGCGCTAGTCGCTATGTAGCGCTTTTCGTTATTTAGAATTAAAAACGTACATATTTTTAGTAAAATTTGTTCTAAATAGTGTCCAAAATAAAATAGCATTACCAGTTTTTTCAAAACTTAAACTGCAAGATCGATATTCCAAAGAAAATATAAACATAACCCCTCTACATAAGGACATTGACATAGAATTCATGTCAATTTCCTAAAATATTTTATCTACGTAGCAAACAAATACAACATGAAGGTAGAATCAATTCTCTAACTTCATGTTTGCCAACTGTTACTTTCAAATAAAATAATTAACTAGTAACGAAATAAATTATACTTTAATATTGTAAATTTAAAAATTAATAAATTTTTTTAATTAAATTAATTAATTATTTTTTAATTAAATTGATTTAAAGTTTCATTTCTTGAAAAACTCTTTAACTCACAAAAAATGCCCTATATATTTTTTTAGAGAACCTTTGCGTGAGAACAAAAATTCTATTTCCGAGATTATATCTTCAAAATTTCTTAAATTAAATTTTTTTTCTATTTTAGACAATGTCTAATAGAAACTTTTAATCCTATGAAAAAGATAATAAATATAAATGCAATAAACATTCAATTATTAATATAAAAAAGAAAAGTAAATAATTTATTATTATTGGATAAAGTTAAATTATTTTTTTTATTTTGTTGTAAGGATAGAAATTAGAAATAAATGTCTCCTTTTTTCCTTTATTATTATTATGTTTTATTTAGTTTATAATTATTAATTATAAAAAACTTTAAGGTTTAAATTCAGAAATAAAAGTGTTAATATAATAATATTAATAATTATCGTTGCCTCGAGTTGCCTCGAACAATTTAACCGCGCGCTTTCAAATCACATGATAAAACATATTTAAAGAAAAGTTGCACATAATAATTTTTATAATAATTATTAAAAAATAAATAGATTTTTAATTTTTTATTATTATTATTAGTAATTAATTAAGTAATTATTATTATTTTTTAATTTTAGATAAAATTAAATTGAATAATTAAAATAAGAAACATATTAAAGTAATAAAAAATTAAATTTTTAAAAATTTTTAATAGTAGAGGATGGTTTAAATTTTCCAAAAAATGTCAGAAAAGTAAATTGTAATTGTTTTAAATTTCACTGGTAATTATTGTAAAATTTTTAATTGGTTAAAAATAATATTTTTGTGTTATTTTTTTAAACATTTTACAATGTTTTAACTTCAAATTAAACATATTTATTCAGAAATATTATTTTTAAAGTTTAAATAATTTGCCGCCAATAAACTATACCCAATGAGCTCACTCATAGTTAAGCCAGCTGATTTATTCAATATGGCCACAACTGGAGTATGCGCCAGTTTGTGAATATTTGGAACCGACTTCGGCGAGACCTCTACGTTGTTGGATCATGGTAACAGTGACGTTGATCACTGCCGCATTAACTACTAAGTCGTCCCGGTGCAACTTCTATTGTCACAGGGCCAGAACAAATTTAATGTCGCCCTGTACTTAATTTGAAATAATGGAAATTGAAACTATAATATAGTCCAGTGTTGAATAGTAACTAGTTATTAGTAACTAAGTTACTGAAAAAGTTACTTTACTTGTAACTTATAACGTAACTAAGTTACTTTTTTTAAAAGTAACTTGTAACGTAACTTAGTTACTATTTTAATAGTAATTTTTAATTTTAAGTTATTTCGTTACTTTCTTTGCACTTTTTTATTGCTTTGAAAAATTAATAATTTCGTATTTCAAAAAAAAGCGCGCAAAGTGATAGGAAAAGAACATGGTCTCTGCGCTCGCATGCTGCGCATTGTACCGAGTGTTTACATTCTGTTTTTCATGTGCTCGTGTTCCATCTTATTTGTTTGGTTTACTGTTGCAATATAGGGGATTTACCTGCATAATTTAAACAGTGTACAAGATTTTTTAAAATAAGATTTTAATTAATTAATTTATTTGTATTCGGAAGTTTTATATAGACTTTTATTTAAGAGTTTATAAACATAATTTTTAGCAACCCCGTGTCGAAATTGTACCATATTAATTGATTTGTAAATTAATTCTTAAAATGGCAAACAAAATCCATGATTATAAAAACTAATTTTCTAATAATGATAATATTTTAAAAATTTTTATAAATAAATACTTGGATAGGTTAAACATGGATGCGTTAAAGAATTAGAAGCAGCTATAGCGAAAGAAAAAAAAAGAGAAAATTCGAAGAACAATTCTCAGATTCTTCATCACAGTCAAATAAGAAGCAAACTCTTTTGGAAAACTGGACTTCCGATTCAAAGCTAGTTACTCAAAAATATTGGATAAAAAAATTATGGATTATGTAATAGAACACGGAGAGAAGATCGTAGTAGATCTTACTACTATCTCAGTTAAATCTACTAAACAGTATCGTTCATTTTGGACGGACTAAACATTCAGTTAAATGAACGATACTGTTTAGTAAAAAAATTTACACGATTATCGATAGAAAAAAATTTACCGACAGAAACGAAATGTAGAAATCTGATTGGTTGTCCGAAATCTGGTTAATTGTGGACAACCAATCAGATTTGTGCATTTTTATTCTGTCGGTAAATTTTTTTGTGTGACAGAACTATAGTAGTCCCTCTGACTACGCTGTTTAGTAGAATCTGGACTAAACGTGTTTAGTAGAATAGACTAATCTCTTCTCTCCGTAAAGTGTTGTAGAAAAATCATCTTTTAAAGATTATCAGGAAATTTTTAAATTTTTATACGTAAAACTTTAGGGGAAAGAATAGATGATGCTTTTATTAAAATGAATGCAAATCTATGTGAAGAACTTGAATAAATACATGTATTACAATTATATTTCACATTTTAATTTGATTCCCATTTGATAAAAAAATTGAATTTCGATAAGACAAATTTTAAAATAATTTTTCAGTAACTTGAAATTTAACTTAAGTTACTTTGTAAGTAACTGTAACTGTAACAAGTTACTTTTTTATAAAAGTAACTGTAACAGTAACTAGTTACTTTTTTTCATTAAGTAACTTAAATGTAACGAGTTACTTAAAAGAAAGTAACTTACCCAACACTGAGATAGTCTTATTTAAGGGGTTAGTACCACATCTTTTTTCAAGAAAATCGATTTTCTAAAAACTGCATATTCTTGTAGAAGATATATGTAGAAATGCTATGGAAACTATTATTTTGGTTGGAAACTTCGGTAACATATCCAAAAACGGGGTACAATCTAAAAGTCACGCGCTCATGGAGCGTACTCTTTGCGAGTAAAATGTATGCTTTTATAAATATATACCTATATAAATACAAGTATTACACATATGAGAGATTCTTTTTCAATCGCCCCAGCCCAAAAAGTCAATGTTCTGATGGGATTGGCTTCATACTTTGGTAAATTGTTGTCCTATATGATAGTAATAAATCCCTAAAATATAAACTCATTAAAAAAATATTTGTAGGAAGTAGAGGGGGTTGAAGTTTTGACGTAAAGGGTAACATTGTCATTTTCAAATCCGTATAACTATGACAAAAGTTAATGGATTTTAATTTATCTATAATGAATTTTAATGCATTTTTCACGTGATTTTCAAAAAAGTATACGAAATTAAAAAAAAAAAAATTTCATCCCTTTTTTTAAAATCAACCCTTATTTTTCGATTTTCACCCCTAAGGGTATTTTTTTTATTTTCATTGGAAAGCTGAGGTTTTTTCCCATGAGCTATGTAAATATGAAAGTGGGACAACAATAATTTTGTGAGAAACATAATATTAAAGTAGGCGGTGCACCCGCGCTATCGACGTAAAGATGAGTACCCATCGTTGTACGCACCTATATTATTCCTGTTTACTTCAGTAACAGCTCTCTGCATTCTACAGGATTGAGACTGTCTATCAAATGAACAAAAATTATTTTCAATTTATTAAAAGGGTGTTTTATTCCTTTTTAAATTTTTTATTACATTTTTGTGTCTGTTTTTGGTGAGAAATTCGTGAAGGAAATTTGTAAGTTTTTTTGTGAAATAATCACATTCCGCAAAGTTATCGATAATTTTTAAAATTAATTAATAAAATAATTAATATGTTAATAATAATAATTATTATAATTTATTATTATTATAATAATTATAATTAATTTTATCATTTATAATATTATGTAATAATATTACATATGTGACCGGGTCTGAGAAAAAGGGTGCTATCGACCAAAATCAACTTTTCGAGAAAAACGCGTTTAAAGTTTTACTACTAATTTAAATAGATTTCTTGAAACATTTTATATATCAAAGGACCTACATAAGTGTTCCTTATGTATTTTTTATGCTGAACACGATTTTTATGGTTAAATAATTTTTTAATACCAGTATTATTGTTATAAACAAGTTGTTTTGCAAAAGTCAAAATATGCAATTTTAAAATTTAATTTAAACGATTTGCTGATGTCCTAGAGGACTGAATTTTTTATGCACATTCAGATCTAACAACCGCACAATAATCCATGGTAATTTTTTACCTACAGAACCAGGTTGCCGATGATTGGTATAATTTAGGATCATCGCCGAGAATTTATCTCGAATTTTTTTTAATGGTTTTGGCATTCATATTTGAGGTTTGAGAAAATATCCTTAATACTTGGACAACCAGGTCGCCGATAACGGGTATACCTGGAGATCATCTTTGCGTCGATAGCGCGGGTGCACCGCCTACTTTAATATTATGTTTCTCACAAAATTATTGTTGTCCCACTTTCATATTTACAAAGCTCATGGGAAAAAACCTCAGCTTTCCAATGAAAATAAAAAAAAATACCCGAAGGGGTGAAAATCGAAAAATAAGGGTTGATTTTAAAAAGAGGGATGAAATTTTTTTTTTTTAAATTTCGTATACTTTTTTGAAAATCACGTGAAAAATGCATTAAAATTCATTATAGATAAATTAAAATCC